GACGTCCTTGAGTTCTCATGTTATGAGAGAGGGAGAAAAACTTTTCCCTATCCACTTTCTCAGTGTTGTTCATAACTATAATGCACATCGCTGAAAAAGGGGATAGAGGAAAAACTTCTGTCCTGTCACTTCTTTACAACAGGGCTGGCAGATCCACAGCCTGCAGGTCCTAAATGGCCCCCCAGATGAACTGAGTGCGGCCTGCAGAAATCCCCCCGGACGCCTGTCGCATGTTTGGAGTGGGGGGTGTTAATTGGTTGCTTTCTTCCTGCAAAGGTTTTTGTAAAATTACAGACAGCACCAAGGGAAGAGAACACAGATCTCTGCCTGCAAGGAGGAAGCAATCCATTTTTGAGTGAAAGGCCAGCAGAAGACTAGGATAGAGGGCAGGGAAACAGTGGGTCACTCTTAGCAGCAAATGTGCAGCAGCACCAAGGGAAATTGGGAATAGTAGTTGTGGGAGGGGTAAACTACAGTTTCCAGGATGTGCTTTTAACATAGGGTATGTCCTCAGCCCGGGACCCTTTAAGTTGCAGTGGGGCATTAAGGTTATTTTTTGACGGGGTGGGAAGGTTGTGCCCCACAGCTTTGCAGAAGAGGTGGGTGATTTGAGGAGGGGGGTTAAGGGAGAGAAAATCCAGACATAAGAGCCAGTGGTGGCATAGTGGTTAGAGTCCTGGACTTGGGCCTGGGAGTCCTGGGTTCAGATCCTCCCTTGTCCATGAATCTCCCTAGGTGTGCCCTTGGGGTCCAGCCACTGCCTTCCTCGGCCTCACCTCCCTCACAGGGTCGTTGTGGGGATTAGATGGTAATGGGGGGAGAGTCATGTAGGGCCCTTGGGGGAAAAAGATGGGATAGAAATGCAAGAAGAAAGAAAGAAATTAAGCCCGCATTTCAGGGGGTTGGTGTCCCTCCCAGCTTTACAGTCCCATGAAATTGGGGCAGCGCCAAACCAGGCTCCTCCAGCCCAGGCGCTAATCAGCTGCGCTGGGGAAGCGGGAGGCTCCTCCTGCCTCTTTCGCGCCAAGCCAGCAAACAAACAATCTGCAAACCCCACCACCACCACCACCGCGAGGCTCCGAGGGCTCAGTACCTAAATCCGCGTGTAAACACCGGGAGCCACTCCAGTCTCTGCCTGCCCCCCGCCCCGCAGCGAGGTGAGCCATCGGCACCAGCACGGCTCACGCTCCGCGCGCTGGAAAGAGCCCTAGATGGATGGGGTCCGGAGAGGCGGGCAGGATGGAGCCCCTCAAGCCCCGCCCCACACCGTCTCTGGGCAGTGCAAGAGCCTCTGGGCCAGCGGGAAGAGGGGCGATAGTCAAACGCAGGCCCAGCTTGCCGAGCCAGGGATCCTGGATCGGGATGGAAAAAAAGGAAGTCGTTCTTCACGCAGTGGATCTGTGGAACTCGCTTCCGCAGGAGGCGGCGATGGGCAGCAACTTGGATGGCTTGGCTTTAAAAGGGAATTGGACAAGTTCATGGAGGAAAAGGCTCTCGATGGCTCCTAGGCACCATGGCTCTGTTCTCCCTCCACGCTCGGAGGCAGGAATGCTTTTCTGCCTCTCAGTCATAGGCGGGAGGGCTGTGTTCAGATCCTGCTTGCGGGCTTCCCATGGGGGCATCTGGTTGGCCACTGAGAGAACAGGAGGCTGGACTGGACGGGCCACTGGCCTGATCCAGCAGACGCTTCTTAGGTTTTGGTGACTGCAGAAGGCCTATGAGACGCCTTCCGGAAGAGCATAAGCAAGGCCTGAACATCGCAGCCCAGCAAAGGCAGACTGCCTTGGGCCCTGGAGGCTCCACGCAGCCTCGGATCTCGGCCCTATCCATGGAAGACCATCTCGGTCGTCCCCCTCTGCACCCCTTCCATCTTCCCTAAATTGTGGTGCCTCAAACTGGATCCGGGACTCCAGGTGCGGGGGTTGGCCAAGGCAAAAGAGAGCAGTACAATGAACATCCCGTGATTTGGAGCAGCAGAAAACAAGCTCGACCCATCTTCCAACGAAGCGCCCTTCAAATATTTGTAGATGGCTCCCATCAGCTGTGAATTGCATTCCCTGGTCCCCCGCCCCGAAGACGTTCCAGCGACGATTTCAGAAATGTGACCCTGCTGCTCCTTTGCTTGAAAGCACAACCGGCGTGCGTGCGTTTAAAGTGTCAAAATTGTCCACACCTCCTTAATTTAGCGCGTAGACTCGGAGCGAAGAGACTTAATCACTCCGTGTGCGCGCGTGCGACCGGGTGGAGGAGTCCGGGTGTGATTCAATTACGTGCAAAACAGGAGGAGGGGGAATCTGGCCCGGTCAGACGTTCCGAGGCGATGACTCCAAGCGACGAAAGGAGATGCGTGAAGAAGAGGCTTGAGAGGTGGGCAGAGCAGAGGAGGGAGCGGCTGTTCCAGGGAGCAGATGGTAACTGGGTGCCCAGGCAGCGAAAGAGAGAGAGAACAAGGCGCTTTCTGGGACGCGATTGGCGGCAGAAGAGGCCGGGAGGGGTGACCCCTCCTAGAAACCGCCCCGCCCCAGCCAGTTCAGTATTCAGACTCGAATATGAGCCAAATATTTATTGACTTGCGCACTGAAGAGCACCAGCCATCCATTAACTCGCCAGGCCCTCCATCTACCAGCCGCCTATAGCTCAAGATGGAGCTTCAACATCCAAAGGCAGTCTATCTCCAAATGCCAGGATTCATCCGTTCGTTCCACTCAAATCCCACCTTTTTCTTGCAAGGCACTCAAGATAGTGTGCGCCCAGTTCTTCCTCCTCTCCTCTTGATCCCCACAACAAACCTGGGAGGGAGGTCACTAAGCCCACCCCCAGTGAGCTTCAGGGCTGTGTGGGGATTCGAACTGGGGTCTCTCCCATGTCTCAGGCAGCCACTGTAACCACTACCTCACGCTGCCTGCCATTTCCATACCCAGTTTGTCCCTGGTGCGGCTATTGGCAGGAGGACTTGAATGTGCTCCTGGGGTTTGATCAAGGGATTATGTTATTTTATTGCATTTACAGCCCATCTCTCCTCGCCGCATCCCCGCTCCAATGAGTTCAGTATTATATACTGTACATGGTTCTCCCCTTCCTCAGTCAGGCAACACAACAACCCCGTGAGGGAGGTCAGGCTGAGAGGCAATGGCTAGCCCAAGGCCACAGCCAGCAAGTTTTATGGCCGAGTGGGGGGGATTTGAAATCTGGTCTCTCCCAGGTCCTGTGCCAGGACACTAACCACTATGCCACGCTGCCTCCCAGACTGAAGCCCCAGAGCCTGAAAGTGCTTGCTGCCTCCTCCCGCAGCCCCGGACCTGACAAATAAGTGTAAGCGTCCCCAATGCAAACAGAACAGATCGGCGAGGTGTAGACGGGTGTCCTGGCCAAGAGGTCAGGGGACTGGGAATTCTGAATCTTGACCCTTGGGAACATAAGGAGGCGAATCAGGCCAAAGGACCCCCACAGCGTAGCATCGTGACCTCACCGTGGCCAACCAGGTGCCCAAATGGGGAGCCCGCAAGCAGGAGCTGGGCGCAGCAGCGGCAGCAGCGACGCTCCCCGTTCGCGATTCCCAGAGACCGGGATGGAAAGGCATTTACTGCCTCCGACAGGGGAGGGAGAATACAGCCATCGCGGCTAGTAGTCGCTGCCGAGAGCCTTCTCCTCCTCCATTTGCCTAACCCTCTGGTGAAGCTGTCTTCGTTGGTCGTCTCCTGCGTGGAGGAGTTCCACAGTCTGAGACCACAACTGCCTAGCAGGGTTGTCGGAAAGATTCCTGAGCTGGCCTGCTGCACGAGCCCCTTTCCTGGCTGGACCAGGCGGCACTCTCGATCTGCTCCAGCCACGGGGCTTCTCCTGTATCAACGTACAAAGAGGTGCAAAATGCGCCCCGCCCGGTCAAGGGGCGCCCTGACCCTTAACTTCTTCTGCCCCCTCTCCAAAATGGAGAGCCGGGGCGGGGCAGAGCCTGGCCTGCGGCGTGGGGTCACTCTGGGGTGCCACAGGGCACCTTCCTCTCCCCGCCGCGGTGCGCAAAGCGCTCCCAGCCTCCCCCTGGCAAAGGGAAGGGGCGAGAAGCGAGGGGGTCGCCCTAGCTGGCGGGTCTTGGGACAAAGGAGCCTCCACGTGGCGGCGGCGGCAGAGGGCGTGGCGGCGGGAGGGAGGGTCCGCGCAACTCCAGCTGGTTGCCATGGAGATAAGGAGGGAGAGGGGCTCGCCGTCGCGTTGCCATGGCGGCCGCGGCTGTCTGTCAACTCGCCGCGCCTGCTCCTCCCCCTCCCCTGTCCGGGCTCACAACCCCCTTCCCCCAACCCGTCCGTGGCAGGGAAAAAGTGGGCCGGGGTCCCCTCTCCGCCGCTGAGAGGGACTCAGGGGACCCCGCATCGCGTTCCTCCTCCTCCCTAGCCCCGTCGGGGTCTTTGTCCCACTAGGGAAAGGCGAGCGCGCCGCGCCTGGGCTCTTTCTGCCGGCCGTCCAGGCGCGCCCCGGTGGCTCTCCGGGTCTTGCCCTCCCCGCAGGGCGCAGAATTAAGCATGGGAGAGATTATATCGGGTGGGGGGCGCTCCCCGTTTCCCGGCCAGGCCCCCTTTTCCGAAGCGAAGTCTCTCTCCCTCCCTGCGTGCGGGCTCCGCCTGTCCCTCCGTGGGGAGCTGTCGGGAGGGGCGCCGCCGCCAAGACTTTCATAAATTTTCGATGCGAAGCGGGAGGGAGGGAGAGCGGGGGGGAGGGAGGGAGGGAGGAGGCGGGGAAGGAGGCGGAGGGGGACCTGGCCCTGCCCAGCCCGAGCCCAGCCCAGCCCTGCCCAGCCGTCGCTGCTGCGGGGAAGAGAGGCGAGGCGAGCTGGGGCGCAGCAGCGCGACGCCCTTTGGAGGCGCAAACCCGAGCGGGTGGAGAGGGGGCTCTGCGCGTTAAAGAGGGAGGCAGGAGGAGGAGGAGGAGGAGGAGGCAGCGCGGCCCGCCCGGAGGGGGCGGCTCCCCCCCCTAAAAGCGCCGAGCCGAGCGGAGCCGAGCCGAGCCGGCAGCGAGCAGCCAGGCGCGCAACGGAGAAGGAGAGTCGTCCGACCGCTTCGCCTGCCTTCTCTGCCTGCCTGCCTGCCTGCCTGCCGGCCGGGGAAACGCTGCCGCCGGCCGCGCGATGCGGCTGCCTGGAGCTCCCGCGAGCCCCGCTCGGATTATCTGCCGCCGTCGCAGTCGCCGCCCGCTGTGAGCGCCGCTCCGGGATCCGCCGCCGCGGCGCCTCCAAGATGCTCCGCAAAGGTGAGTCCGCAGAGCCGGCGAAGGAAGCGAGGGACGCAGGCGGCCGTCGCCAAACTTTGCCGCGCTGTCCGGGGGCTGCCGGACCCAGCCGGGGAGCGCAGGCCGGCAAACTTTCCTGGCCCCTCCGGGGGGAAGTGGGGGCGTCGGGGCTCCTTCCCGCGGGTCCCCGGAGTCGCGCCCGGACGAGAGCAGCGAGCCGCACGCTCGGCTCGGCTTCTCGGGGTACCTGGGGGGGGGGGCGGAATGTGGCAAAGAGTAAAGAGGGGCAAGGCGGCGGGGAGGGCAGAGCAGTCTCTCCAAAGGGCTGTGGCAGGTGGTCCCCGTCGAACTGGGGAGGGTCAGGTTGTGTCCGGCCTGGAAGGTCCGGAGCGCGGGGCTGAGTCGCCACTTGGGCTTGGGCGGCGCTGCAGGGAAGGAGTCGACGGGGCGGGGTGGGGGGGGCAAGAGGATCGGAGCGCCCAACGGGGTGGGGAGAGGCCGGTCCCTCCCGGCTTCCTCGGATGTAAGGACGGTTTCTTTTGCTTCGTGATCCGCAGTCGCATTCTGGTTCGCGCGTCCCGCTGCCGCCTTCATCGGGGGTCCCTCGACGGGTCGGGGCTGCTGGGACCTGGCTAGCTCTCCGCGCGCGCTGTCAAGTCAAAGTATGGTGGGGCGTGGGGTCTCCCCCTTACCAAATGCGCCCAACTTTGCCGGCCCAATCTTGGGATGTCGCTCTGAGACCGACTTGTGTGTGTGCGTGCGCGCGCGCGCGCCCTAGGGTGATAGGGGTCTCAGGGGCGGGCTTGATCCGTGGGGCTGAGCGCGGATCTTTTCTCGGGACCCGAAGTGGGGCAGGGCGGAGGGGAGCGAGTACTGTAGCTGGCGCGCTCGGCTCTAATCTTTATGCGGCGGCGGTGGGGTCACAGTCGTGGCGGGGTCTGTAAAATCGGCTCAGGAGGTGGGATGGGGAGGCAGATCCCGCGCCTGGGCTCAGGCGCCTGGTCTTGTCACGGCAGCATCTGGCAAAGCGGTGCCACAGAGGCCCCTCGCAAGGAAGAAGGGAGGAAGGATGAGGCCTCGCCCTCCTTCCTTCCCACTCTCCCTTCCCACCCCCACCGCCGCTTTCTGCCCCAGTTTCCGAAGCTTAATCCGTGCCAAAGCAACTGCCCTCCTTCCTGACCGCGAGTCAGGGCCCAGCACCTATTTTTTAAAGGAGCACAGCTTCCTGAGCATGCACAGAGCGCCCCTGAAGCCCGCTAGCCAGAATCAGCAGTCCCCTTAATAAAGGGGGGAGGGAGACTTTGATGTGGGGGTCAAGAGGTCAGTTTAGGACCACCTCTCCCCCATTCGGAAGTTGGCCACTGGGGGCGGGGGGCGGGGCGAGGAAGCTTTTTGGGTCCCGCGAAGGCGCGCGGGGGGCGAGGCGACTTGGCTAAGTGGCCCCGAGATGAATTCTTGCGAGTCTCGAAGCTGTCTTTCATTTGGATCTATCTGTACGTCAGCCACGCGGAGGAAATGCAGAAAAGAGCCAGCCCGGCCCGCGCTTCTCTGCCGAGCTAATATCGCCGCCCTGAATAATTCAGCAGCCGGGCCCGCTTCAGGCCACGCCCCCCACTCCCACCCCCACCCCCCAGAGGAGAAAGACCCCGGCCCCCTCTTGGCACCGGCGGCGGCCTCGCTGGTTCTGGGCCCCGGAAGGAGCAGGTCTGCTTTGGAGGGAGAGCAGCTCAGCCCCGGACCTCTCCAGGTCTCCAGCAACTGCCTCCAGGCACATATTTGCATCTCATTTGCATATAGTCGAAACAAAATTAAAAAAAATCCTTCCAGTAGCACCTTAGAGACCAACTAAGTTTGTTATTGGTATGAGCTTTCGTGTGCATGCACACTTCTTCAGATACACAAAAGCTCATACCAATAACTAACTTAGATGGTTTCTAAGGTGCTACTGGAAGGAATTTTTATTATTTTTTATTTTGTTTCAACTACCAACACAGACCAACACAGCTACCTAACTGTAACCATTGCATATAGTCATCTTTTCATATTTAGGCGGCCATTCAGAGGGACAGTCAGGATGGAAGCAAAGTTGAGGTTGTTGTGAGTGGAGGTATGTGTGTACCTGGGGATATAAACACAGGCACATATATTCTCTCATATACACAGAGATTTAATATTATGTAAATATATCTCACATACATATAAAACCAACTTTGTTTCATGCAACCCACTTAGGTGTGTTTTTTAAAATCGATTAACATGCCACTTAATCTTGCCAAATATTTGTTTTATTTATTTATTTCATAAACTGCTTGTGAGGGTTGTTGTTTTTTTAAAAAAAAAACTATCAAGGGCTATATATGTTTTATTAAATCAATCAATCAATACTATATCTCGTTAAGAGACCTGCAAGAAGACAACCCGCAAAGCAGTTATCTAATGGAATAATGTAAAGAAGAAGGTTCAGGAGATCCTAAGGCTGGGGCCAACGACTTGAGGCTAGCCCTCCCCGCTTAACACCCCTGAATGGCAGGATCTGTAAGTAGATCTGGAGAAGCCTCTGCGGATCCCAAGGGCCTGAACCAGGCGGGGAGAGCAGCTGGGCTTCCCTTTGGGGCCTCTGGTGGGCCACTGTGAGGACAGGAGACAGGACTAGGGGTGCATTTTTTAGCCTGGTCCAGCACGGCCGGTAGAGCTGTTTTTCTGATGCATGCCCTGGTCCCAGCACAAAGGGCAGAACATGGACCCCTTGGCCACAAACACCCCTTTCCTGGGTCCTGACCTTCTGTTGGATGAGGCTACTGGAAAGCATTCACATCACGCAAACTGTTTAGAGAGATAATTTCCCCCCTCCCCCCAGTAAGTGGTATACAGTGGTACCTCTGGTTACGTACTTAATTTGTTCTGGAGGTCTGTTCTTAACCTGAAGCACCACTTTAGCTAATGGGGCCTCCTCCTGCTGCTGCGCCGCTACAGCACGATTTCTGTTCTCATCCTGAAGCAAAGGTCTTAACCCGAGGTCCTATTTCTGGGTTAGCGGAGTCTGTAACCTGAAGCGTATGTAACCTGAAGCGTATGTGACCCGAGGTACCACTGTATAAATTTTGCCAGGTAAATAAATCTGGCCAGGACTGGGGTTGAACTGTGGAACTCCCTGCCACAGGAAGCAGTGTCAGCATGGCCACCAACTTAGAAGATGAGCAAGGCTAATGATAAGGATATCAGTGGCTATGCTCCTGACAACCAGTTGCTAGAAAGCACAGGAGCGGAGAGGGATCTCTTGCTCAGATCTCACTTGCTGGTTTCCCACGGGGGGGGGGGGACTGGTTGGCCACTGGGAGGGGAGGACGCAGGACTAGATGGCCCACTGGCCTGATCCAGCAGGTTCTTCCTGTGTTCTTAAGGCCCCCTCCCCTCACTAACCGAGTCAACCATTTGCACATCTGAGGTTGTTTTGCACATTTTGCTTATTTTTCACGGTTCTCTAAGTTGCTTTGAGGTTTTGTGGGGGAAAGAGACATGATGATGAGAACTCCCAGCAACCAGCAGAGCCACAGAGGGATGATGGGAATTGTAGTCCAGCCGGAGCTGGATTCTGGCCAAGGCTGCTTTGTTGGGTGAAGGGACAGACCCCAGTCCTGGGAATGGCAGGCAGCCTGGTTCAAAGGGGCCAAACCCCCAAGGTAGCACTGCTGAGGGTCACCTGAAGCAGCCTCCTCCAGCAGGACTGGCTCTCCTGCCTCTGTGAAAGGGCTGCAGCCACAGAGTTAAGACTGGGGTCCCCACTTCTGTGCTTGAGGAGGAGGGTGGGGCAATTCTGGAGGTTGTTCCTGGGGGACCCACCACACCCCAAAGCTTTTTAAAACCTATTCTAAGTCTCTTTAGAATCCAGTGCCTGAGCTTGTCTCAGGACACAGATTATAGGACCTGGGGTGGGGGCAGGCAGGGACCTTTTCAATCCAGGGGCCACATTCCATCCCGGGCAACCTTATGAGGGCCACTTCTGACATTGGACTAGATGACCCATTGCGTCCTTTCCAGCTTTAAAATTCTATGATTTGATGGTGGGCGGAGCCAAAAACAAAAGTGGGCAGGGCAAGGAATGTGAATGGTTAGCTGGTGTCTACGCTTTCAAAGCCTCTCTCTCTCCACCCTCCATCGAGGCAGCCCAGAAGCATGTGCAGAGTTCAAGGACACATCTGCAGCCTTGCACAAGCACTCAAGGATGGTGTGAGGCAGAGCCAGGGAGGGGCGTGGCCTGGGAAAGCCCCAAGGAAGGCGGAGGGGGCTCCCAGTCTGAGGGCCCCCCTCCCCTTGTAGGATCACAGGAGTGTCTTGCAGTTCCTTGGCCTGACCTGCCAAGGCAGGATCACCCTCAGCCCATAGCAGCTGCTCCTCTCACCCAACATGCCAGTTAGAGTACAGAGCAAACGGCTCTGGATGGCTCGGGCTAGTGAGCCAAATCACATGTAGCTATGGGAGGTGGCGCAGGTGTGTTTTTGTGGGTTCTTAGCCGCTCTGAAAGGCCTTCTCAGATCCCTTCCAGGTTCCCTTGCATGAGATGTCAGGATGCTGAGATGCTGCCTAGAAGGGTCTGTGTGTGGTCCAGGCAGATAGAGAGGGAGACTTCCAGATTCCTGCCCCTCTCCCTTTGACCTCTGTGCTGACCTGTCCTTTGAAGGCCAAGGGTGCATCCCTTCCCCTTCCGCCTCTTCCCTCACACTTTTGAGGTTCTCTTGGAGAGCAGAGCTTCTTTGCCCCTCCAGCTGGTTAGTGACCCAGGGCGATAGAATCCTGCCCAGTGCACTTCCCTCAATAAACACCAGCTTCCTAACTCTCTCAGACTTCAGAGGTGTTCTCCAAAGACCCATTTCACCAAAGGTGACTTCTGCTGTTGCATATGCGCTCCGGAGGCCAACTGGAGATTCCTTTGGCGTCCCTAGTTCCCAGAGCATCAGGGAGGTCCAGTTCTTACACCAGGGATAGTCAGTGGGCTGGGCTGTGGGGAGCAGCCCTCCCCACCCCAGCAACCCCACCCATTCTTTTAACATAAAGGTGCACTTGACATTTTGAAGACTGTGCCACTTGCAAAGGAAATTTCAAAAGATGAATAAGGAAACGGGGGAACCTACACCTCGCCCCCCCATCCTAAGAACAGGCCAACCGGATCAGATCAAGAAATGGAGGCAATTCAGGAGGGTTGCTGCTTTGGTTTAAGGCTTCCCCAGGTCGGGGGGGGGGGCATAAATAAAAGTTTAAGGCATGGGGATACGAGAGGTCACAAATGACAGTCTCTCCAAAAGAGTGGAATTAGTGAGGAGATGAAAGGAGCCCCAGACTCCTAGCAGTAGAAAAATGGCAAGAAATGAGATCCTGGTGGAACATTAGGAGGACATTTCTAAGCCATTTGATGGGGGGAATGGATGATCTTGGAAGGTGGCAGACTCAGGTGGTCACCTGTCAGGGATTTTTTTAGCCATGGCTCCTGCATTGCCCCTTCCAACTCTACAATTCGATGATTCGATGGAAGAGGAAGCTCAACATGTCCTACCAAAGAGATGAGACCTTCCCAACGCAGGAAAAGAAAACACGTGTCCAGAGATGTCACAGATGAATGGTGAGGCATCTTGGGGCTTTGGCAGAGGAGACGGAGCCCAAATATTTAAATAAATAAACCGGCGAATGGATTGAGGAGAAGCAGAAACGGTGCCAGAAGGCCCTGACCAGAGCAAGAAGAGGCTTTCCTCCAGCCAAGTTGGGGCAGAGAGCCAGCGGTAGATAATTGGGACCAGGGGAGCCGGGTTCAAGTCTTGCCTCTGCTATGGATTTGTTTTCCAGTCTTGGGAAAGTCACTCATTTCTGGCTCTCATGTTCTTCTTCTTCTTCTTCTTCTTCTTCTTCTTCTTCTTCTTCTTCTTCTTCTTCTTCTTCTTCTTTTTGGAAGCGGAAAACCTTTATTTGAATCTGTGGCAGGAACGTAGTTCTGGTCTCTGCACCCCAGAAAAGAGATTGTAGAGTTGGAGGAGGTTCAGAAAAGGGCCACCAAAATGATCGAGGGGATGGAATGACTCGCTTCCCTATGAAGAAAAGTTGCAGCATTTCGGACTTTTCAGTTTACAGAAAGGACAAGTAAGAGGGGCCACAATAGAGGCTTATAAAATGATGCAAGGCCTAGAGAAAGGGGACAGAGAAGTGTTTTTCTACCTTTCTACGAACACGTGAACTTGTGGATATCTAATGTTGGGAGATTCAGGAGAGACAAAAAAAAAAAAAGCGCCCTTATTCACGCAGCGGAGAGTTAAACTCTGGAACTCCCTGCCACTGGAGGCAGTGACAGCCCCCAACTTGGAGGGCTTCAGAAAGAGGATTAGACAAATTCATGGAGGAGGAGAGGGCTATGGTGGGCTACTGGCCAGGATGAGCTATTGCTCTGCCTCCACAGTCAGAGGCAGTGATGCTTCTGAAATACCACTTTCTGTGAATCTCAGATAGGAGAGCACTGCTCTTGTGATCAGGCCTTTCTTGCAAGCAGCCCATTTGCGGGGTCAGAATCTGGTTGGCTACTGTGAAAACAGGATGCTGGACTAGAAGTTCCCTCTGCTCCTTGGTCCCTTCTGCTGATCTTGCTCTCCCTCTCTTCCGCACCTCCCTTTAACCCCGATGCGAAACTGGAGTCCCAGGCTTGTCGCCCCACCAGGTCCCTCACTCACTTCGAGGGCTGCAAAGACAAGGAAGGCCCTTAAATGATTTATTTGTGGCATTTCCGTGTTTCCCCAAAGCCAGATTACATCAGAAGTTGAAATGCAAAGTAACGCACACACAGGATAAAAAAGAAACAGCAACAGAGAGACTAAACCAGGCTGTGCTGAGTGAGTCGGAAATGAGAGTTGGGTGTTTGAGTACACATACTGGCCTACTAGCCACCTCACGCCCAGTTGGGGAAGGTTCCGTCCGCCATCTTGATTCGTAATGGTGTCCCAATTTAATCAAAACCCAGGTGAAAACCTGCTTTGCGATCTTGCATTGCAGGTTGTTGGGCTAGACCAGGGGTCAGCAAACTTTTTCAGCAGGGGGCCGGTCCACTGTCCCTCAGACCTTGTGGGGGGCCGGACTATATTTTTTGGGGGGGAGGGAATGAATGAATTCCTATGCCCCACAAATACCCCAGAGATGCATCTTAAATAAAAGCACAATTCTACTCATGTATAAACACACTGATTCCCGGACTGTCTGCGAGCCAGATTGAGAAGGCAAATGGGCCGCATCCTGCCCCCGGGCCTTAGTTTGCCTACCTGTGGGCTAGACAACCTCAGTCGGTGGAGCAGGAGACTCTCAATCTCGGGGTTGTGGGTTTGGGCAAAAGACTCCTCCATTGCAAGGTGTTGGACTAGATGACCCTCGTGCTCCCTTCCGACTTGACAGTTCTATGACTCTGTGTTCAGGAAACATTTGGCTCTGAGGTCTCAAAGGGTGCCCAGCAGGCAGAAAAACCTGAGCCTTCCAAAATATACAGCAGGGGGGAAGAAGGGGGCTGGGTGAAACCAGAGGTGTCTGTGATGTGATAGAAATAAAGTGTGCTGGGTGTGTGTGTTAATCCTGGCCAACTCATCCCTGTTGCTGCTGCTGCTCCCGGTCTCCTCATTTCACCTCTCATCCCTCTGTTTTGACCAGCGGGAGAAGCCTTTTTCCCCACATCCCGCCTTTCAGGTGAGACCCACTTGGTGGGAAGAAGGAAACACGGAGTTTTCCTCTTATTTAGCACAGCACCCACCACATGGAGCTCCCTGCTCTGTAGGAGTCGTCTCTCACCCTTCCCTTAATGGTCTTGCCTTATCTTGCCAATATTTGGGGTGGGAGGGCCATAGCTCAGTGGTACAGAGCACCTGCTTTGCAGGCAGAAGGTCCCAGGTTCAATCCCTGACAGCATCTCCAGGTGACAGGAGCGAGCCAGCATTCAATCACACTGAGCAAGCTGGAGTTAACTCTTTATTAGCAAGACAGTGTCTGCACAGGAGTGTCCATCCTATGAGCACAGCAATTCTTCACTAGGTCTTGCCCCCCAGGAAGCAGTTGCAGAGACTGAAGGCCCCGCCTCCCCACAGCTAAATTCCCTCCTGCAAGCAATCTGAGACTGTGCCTGCTTGCAGCCAACCTCTCCTCCGCCCTTTTCATGGCTCTCCTGGTTCTGGGAGACCAAGTGGGAGGCAAGTGTGTCGCAGCAGGAGCAGGAGACACCTGTGACTCTTCCCCAGCCAGACTCATCTCTGCCTCTTGGCTTCCTTCCTCTCCTGCTTCAGCTTCTGCCTCTGATTCTGGACTGCTGTCTGCCACAGACTCTCCCAGCTCACTAAGCCCTGTTCTGCTTCAGCTTCCAACACCTCCTTCTCCCAGCCCTCTCCCTCTGACCGCTCATTGTTGTCCCATCCTCACTCCCCAGTCTCTGAACCTTGTTCCCTTGGGGTTTCCCCAGCCGGTTCCTCCCACCAATCCTCTGCATCCAACCAGTCCATGACCCCAGATAGGGCTGGGAGACAGTCCCTGCCTGAAACCCTGCAGAGCCATTGCTGCTGGCCGGTGTGGACGACACTGAGCTTGAAAGGCCCTTGGCAGATGTCAGCCTCTGGTCAGCCAAAGGGAGGGCTCTAGATGAACTCATGGTTTGGCTTGGAATTAAGGCTGCTTTCTTTTCTTCCTCTGTGTAAACATCCCAGTATGATTGACGGTGCCTTGCAGGCTCCTTGCTTGTGGGGAGAAAATAAACACCTGAATCTGTTGATTGACCTGGGTCTGCCTCTGGGGGGAATCACAGCGCTGCCTGGGAGCTGACAAGACCCCCTGGGAAGAGCAGCTTTTGGGGAGAGCTGGGTTGATCTGAGAGCTCTTTTTAAGAACATCAGAAGAGAGCCCAGCTGGATCAGGCCAGTGGCCCAACTGGACCAGCACCCTCTTTTCATAGTGGCCAACCAGATGCCTCAGGAGCTGCTGCTTTCTCCTTGTCTGGAGGCATCTAAGCAGAGCTCTTAGGTTCCTTCTGCAGTGCCCAGCCAGGCGGCTGCCAGGGACTCCTAGCGGGTGCTGCAAACAGAAAGGGCCCTAATGGGGCAGGAAAGTGAGGTGCAAGTGTGCAGGTGTGGATCACAGCCCCAGGACACCCCACCGTATCTTTATTGGGCTCGAACCAAACACCCAGTACTTTGGGAATGAGGCCTTGTCCTCCTTGCCAGCCCCACTGGGATGTCGCCACCTCCTTCAAACGGGACAGCAGATGGAAATAACCCCAGACCCAGAGGAGAGCTAGTTAGCGGCTGCCTCTAATCCAGATTAAGGGGCTTGCAAATCGAGAGCAAGTCCTCTGATCGGGAGATGCCTGCAAAACGTGTAATCCCGTTCACATGGCGAATTAATCCAGATTAACTCCCCCCCCAACCCTGGTGTGGAGAAGGGCCACTTCTCTCAGCCCTGGCTGGTGATAGCCTAGTTTGACAGCCTTGGGGGCTCATGGGGTGAGGGGGCCTTGTCAGTGTTTGCTGTCCTGCGAGTGTGTTGAGGGGGTATTATTGTTGGTGCCCCCTTGCCGTGAGGGACTGTGCCACCCCAGTGTGGGGAGGAAGCAAGGCAGGCCGGGGAGCTCCTGGAGCGACAGACTCTGACCCGGCAGAGCCGTGTGGGGAGAGGAAGGTCGCTTCAAGGTCAAGGCATATGGCAAGGTGGTTGGGCGGGAGTGGGGTGGGGGCCTGCAGGAACCCCAGCAGAGACGTTGTGTCCCCCCCTCTATCGCTTTGCTAAAAGGGTTCACTTGGCAGCTGGGCAAGAGAATCGAATTAAGTTATTTGCACTTAGTTGCTCTTCTAATGCAGGGAAGGGAGCCTGCAGGGAGAGTCAGAGGGAGGGGCCAGAGGGGGTGGGCACGGAGCTGGCCTGGGCTTGAGCCCCCCCCCCAAAAAGGCCTTCTCTTTCTGCTCTCCAGGAACTGTGAACCTGCTTCTGCAAGGTAGGCAACAGCAACTGAGCTCTGCAGAAATAAATGTCAGCTGCAGCATTTGACCAGAGCCGCAGGGTGCAGATCCAGGGGTGTGTGACTGTGGTTTTGCCCGTGCTGCTATGCATGACCCCTGAGCCCCCAGGCCATGTCCCACCACTGGAGGCCATCAAATTGTACAATAGGAAGGGACTGCCAAGGGACATCTAGTCTACCCCTAGCAACGCTGTGTGTTCAGAGCTGTGTACGTGTGTCACCCACTCCTCTAAGCCAGTGGGCTCCCTAATCTCCATTATTTATGTGTTGCCCTTGTAGCCCTTTGCTTTCTCAAGGGAGCATGCCTTGCTCTTCCCTCATTTAAGCGCCACAACAACCCTGCGAGGTGGGTGAGGCTGAGAGGCAGTGCCTGTTTTCCAAGGTCATCCAAGGGGATTTGACTCCTGGTCTCTCCCAGGCCTTCGCTACTTGGGTGCAGGCAGCCAGAGACCAACTGGCAGCTTCTCAACACCCCAAGGCAGCCACTCTTCCTGGGAGACAAGGACAGGGCAGAGAGAGAGAGAGAGAGGGAGCAGCAGCAGCTGGGTTCTTCTGGGACTGTCTAGGACAGCCTTTCTCAACCTTGGGTCCCCAGATGCTGTTGAACTACAACTCCCATCACCACTAGCTAGCAAGGCCAGAGTTCAGGGATGATGGGAGTTCTAGTCCAACAACATCTGGGGAGCCACAGGTTCAGAACCGCTGGTCTAGGACTTGGAAGCCTGTCCTGGGAGACTTCCCTCCTGAACAACAACAACAGGAAATCAAAAGCTCTCTGCACATGCTCTCTTTTTCTGACGCCACACATCACCTGGGACCAGGGCTTGGTATTGAAGGTAGAGATTCTGAGGCCCAGGTAACTGGTCTGAGAGGGGTCCCTGGAGGGATTCCCGTTGTGAGGAAAGGTTGGGGAGAAAGGCAGGAGATAGGGGCAGTCAGGCCACCCCCTGACCCTAGATGGGGGCACAGTGGTGCTTGTGGGAGACAGTTCATTCAGTTTATTTTTTAACTGCGAACCATCCCGATTCATGCTTTCAAAAAAACGCAAACTGAAACTCGCCCGCCCTTCAGAAATCTGCACTTCTCTGAATTTTGCAACGCAGTTCTCCCTACATAAATGCATGCACTGGGTTTAAGTGTGCAGATAAATGAGTATATCAGTGAAAGTAACATGCCAAAAGGGGCAGAGTGTTAGAGAAAATTGCTCTGCAGAAATGTGTTTGTGAGGAGGAATTTGACTAAGATGCTGAGGAATTTTCAGGGAGCTTTTTTTAATAAAAAAAATTGTATTGCAGATCGCTGCGGAAATGTAAGAGAGCTGAATTTAAGATTAGGAGTGAGATTAGCGTGAGAAATTGAAATGGAGCCCTCCCTCCCTTGGCATTTGGCTTGGGGGTGGGGAAGCCTCTTCTTCCTGTCTTCTGGATAATGGACAGCCTTGTCATTGCAGCCCCTTCCTCTTAGCCTTTGCTAAGACCATCCTCTCTCTGGCCCAGAGAGCTCAGGAAATAGCCCTGATGATCTGCTTCGGAGGGGCCAGCGGCTGGGGTGCTCCACTGCCCTCTTTTATCCTCACAGCAACCCTGCGAGGTGGGCTAGGCTAGGCTGAGAGGCTGTGACTGATGCAAAGTCAGCCAGGGAGCTTAGGAGCATAGGAAGCTGCCCTATACTGAGTCGGGCCACCGAGTCTGGCTTAGTATTGCCTACACTGACTGGCAGAAGCACCCCGGGACTCTGGGGAAAGGGTCTCCCTCAGCCCTTCTCTGGGAGATGTCGCTGGAGGTTGAACTCAGGACCTTCTCCATTCCAAGCAGGGCTCCCCCACAGAGCTGGAGCTTTCCCCTTAGAAATATAGACTATAAGAGCACGATCTCTCCCTCGGGAAGTGGCAGACTGTCGTTTTTAAGCAGAGGTTGGATGGCAATCTGTCTTGGATGCTTTCGCTGAGATTCCTGCATTGCAGTGGGTTGGACTAGATGGCCTTTGGGTATCCCTTCCGACTCTACATTTCTTTGATTCTATGATAAGGCTGATAACCCTGCTGGATCACCTAGTCCAGCCTCCACTTCTCACATATTCCCCAAAGGGAAACCCCAGGCAGAGCCTGAGGGAAGCAGCAGCTCTCCCCACCTGTGATTCTCAGCAACCAGCTTTCAGAGGCAGTGGCTGAGAGGGGATTTGAACCCAGGTCTTCCAAGTCCTAGTCCAACACCCTAACCACTGCGCCACGCTGCCTCCCGGTGGTCTTACCACAGCCTCCCGTCTGGTGATTCTGCTCTTTCCTTCAATCAGCTCCAAGGGCTCCTTTTCCGTCTCCACTGCCAGCGTAGCGATTGTAGTAGTACTAAACGGGGGCGTTTCTCTGATGCTGGATTTGAATGATGGCCTTGTGTTGGGTCCTTATTCCCCGTTTTGTTTGGCAAATTTATTGTTTCTATTTTTAGTGGATCTTATCATGGATGCGTGGCGTTGCTCGCTGGGCAAGGTGCTTTGAATAATTCACTGCCCCAACCCCTTGAAAGGTGACTAATGAGCAAATCACCCATTGCACATCTTGGGGCCCAGGAACTGTAGAGTTGTAAGGGCTTCCAAGGGTCCTCTAGTCCACCCCCCCCCCGCAGTGCAGGAATCTGTGCCCCACCCATTTCCCCCACCCATAGCGGAGAGGGACTTTTGCCAGCCTCTTCCTCTCCAATGCAGAGGAGCACATTTGAGTTTCAGCTCCAGAACGCAGCAGGCAGGCTATGGGAGTCCAAGTCTTTTTACAGGGACGTGTTTCGGGGGGGTCTTTCACCCCATTTTTAACATTTCAGGCTGTTTCTCAATTTGCAGTTGCTCCATGTCAGAGTAGACACTCCTATGCTAAATGGAGCGATGGCTTCCTGACTCAACAGAGGTTTGGTTGGTTAGAGAATCATTGGATTGGAAGGGACCCCAGGGGTCATCTATTCCAACCCCCGGCAATGCAGGGATAATTTCAATGCAACCTTCTAGGGGCCACATGCCAGCAGTGGGCAGGGCCAGAGGAAACAGTGGGCAAGCAACAGATGCGAATTTTGCCTTTGTACAGTAGCTTGGTTTTGAGTCGCTCTCCTCCATCCAGGCCAAGCAAAGAGGCACTATTAAAAGCCGGACTCAAAGAGGTTGTGAAGAAGGGCTGTGGTCCAAGGAAGAATCCCAAGGGCCAGGCAGAGAGGCATCTGGGAATTTGGGGGCCGGTGATCCCTGCGGTGGACTTGGCCTCCGATGGAACACTTTCCTCCAAGCCAGTAAAAAAGCAGAGACTCTCTTTGTGAACTGTCCTCACTCGGAGTGTACCAGAAAAGTTGGGCGCAAGAGCTGGTTTAGGATGCCAGGCTTTTCTGTAATCCCATCCAGACCCCCAGCACAGCTGCCCCCAAACAACCCCACCCAGAGGGGTCTGTGCAAACAGAGGAGGGAGGGATCAACCTCCTTCTCTTCCTCGTCTTGGCAATCCGGTTCAGCTCTCCTCCTTTTTCTGTTTGTGATTTCCAACCCCCCCCCCAAAAGCCCGCATGAAAATCCATATGCAAATCTCCGTGTGCATTTCCCTTCCCGTACAGCAAACCTCGTACGACACATTTTTGCACTTCCTTTCCTTTGAGTGCACCCCGTTCCCCTAACAGATGCTTTTTTGGGTGTGCAAGTTTTGGGGTGGAGACCAGACACATGGCAGAACTCAGGGAAATGTTGGGTTTGGAAGGACAACAACCATGTCCCAGCCTTGGCTCAAGAAGTGCAGCTGAGGTCACTGTTTAATGGAAATGGAACACACTTCTCTCCTGTCCAGAGGGGCTGGGTTATCTTTGGGGGGGGGGAGAGCACTGGCCAGCTGGGAAAATGATGTCACGACAACAGTGACAGAGGCCTGGAGCCAGGCAACGGGGGAGCCTGGTGAAGCCCATGGAAGGAGCTGGACCACAGCAGAGAGAGGGCAGGAAAAGCAGGGGTGGGAGAGATCAAGGCTTGAGGGAGAAGGGGGTGCCCTTGGAGATGAACTGCAGAGGCTCCCTGATGAACACAGGAAAGCTTCAGTGCACATCTTTGGGAAAGGATTTTCCAAAGGACTGTGTTACTATCCTGGATTCCCCCCCCCCCCAAGTCCCAAATTCAAGCAAGCTTCCCTTTGGACTTTGGAGGGGCTCTCTGGGAGGGCAGGCACTGTTGGGGCGGGCGTGTGAGCATGCTTTGCCAAGGACCCAAAGACTGGACAGATTCATGGAGGAGAGGGCTATTGATGGCTCCTAAGCCACGATGGCTCCGCTCTGTCCTCCACTGTTGGAAGCAGCAATGCTTTGGAACACCAGTCGCTGGAAGCTGCAGGGAGGGAGAGGGCTGTTGCGTGTTCAAATCCTGATTGTGGGCTTTCCAGAAGAGGCATCTGGTTGACCAAGAGCCCCACTCCTTTGTACACCTCCCTCCCGTCCATCTTGCCTGGGACTGGCAGTGCCGATCCAGCTGGACCAAAGGCTTAGCGTTGTCTCGAGGTGGTGCCTAAGCAACACCCCCCCAAGCTGCACTCTGCTGGTCCCTCAACGTCTGGGGTGGGAGACAGCCTTGTCTGCTGGAATTTTGCTAAAGGAAGGCAGGGCTGAGATTCTATTGCTCATTTCCAAGTGTTGAGAGACTCTGGGGTTCCAGCGCTTCCACAGGTTCCAGTTTCCTGGAAACGAGGGACAGCGGAGATTGTGGTGTCTTTAGCGTATAGAATCATAGAAATGTAGAATTGGAAGGGACCACAAGGATAATCTAGTCCAACCCCCTGCAATGCAGGAATCTTTCGCCCAACATGAGATTCGAACGCATGTCCCTGAGCATGTCCCTCATGCTCTACCAATCGAGCGATTGGTTTTATTAGATATGGTTTTATTGACATGTCTGTACAACCTAAGGCTAAGATGGAGGGTCTCACAGCCGTAACACGCCCCCCCCCATCTGCTTCTCCGATCATCACGGCCTTGGGATCAAGCATGGCTGTATCCCTCTGGCTTCTGCCTGCGTCTTTCTCCCAGTTCAGCTCACTCTAGCTGAGAGAATAGCTCACGACCTGGCTGTTGTCCTCCTAAATCACACCCACGTTTCCGAGCACAATTCAAAGTGTTGGTGCTGACCTTTAAAGCCCTAAACGGCCTCGGTCCAGTATACCTGAAGGAGCGTCTCCACCCTCATCATTCAGCCCGGACACTGAGGTCCAGCGCTGAGGGCCTTCTGGCAGTTCCCTCAATGCGAGAAGTGAGGTTACAGGGAACCAGACACAGGGCCTTCTCGGTGGTGGCACCCACCCTGTGGAACTCCCTCCCACCAGATGCCAAGGCAATAAACAACTGTTTTACTTTTAGAAGACATCTGAAGGCAGCTTTAGGGAAGTTTTTAATGTCTGATGCTGTATTGTTTTTAATATTCGGCTGGAAGCCGCCCAGAGTGGCTGGGGAAACCCAGCCAGATGGGCGGGGTATAAATAATAAATTATTATTATATTATTATCCAGGTGAGGTGGGATGGAGGGCCCACCCATTAGCCTGCCATTAGGGAGCTTACCCCTTCAGCCACACAGCCCTTGCCTAGACAAAAGGTGGCCCCCAAGGATGGAAATCTGCCTGGCTAGTTGAAGAATGGGGTCCTCTGTTAGATCTTAACCCTAGCTGGGTAGAAGGCTCCAGGAATTAGAGGGGACTCGGGAATCAGGCAGACGGAGGCACCCCGCCAAAAAAACCCTCACAACAATATAAATAAATGAGCTTTGGATACAAGTGTGCTGCAAATACTTGAAAGGTGCACATCCCCCCCCCCCGACACACTCCCTGCCTGCCTTCCTGGACCCCCTGCGCTCGCCTGCCTGTTTGGGTTGCTGGGCAGGCTTTGATGCCTGTTAATGAGACTCTCCCCTTAAACGGGCTTCACTCTGGTGTGAATTTAATGCTGATCCAATTTGCTGACAGCAGCAAAAGCCACGGGGGCAGAAAATGCACAGGAGGAGGAGAGAAGGGGGGCTAGTTCAATCTGCAAAGGTGCCCCCAAGGATAAAGGTCCAGGGGCAAGGGGCGGAGAGGTCGGCTCCTGGCCACAGGGTGGGGGGCTCTGCAACTGGGTGTGTCCATCTTCACGTGGCCTAGAGCTGGCTGGGGAGCAGGGAACAGAAGGATGGACAGACATCTAGTGCCATTCCTGGGGAAGATGCAGAGTGCCTTGGACCAAGCCAGACCTTTGGGTGCATCTGGCTCTGTGTTGTCTACACTAGCTGGCAGCAGCAAAAGAAGCTGGCATGGTGATGCAAAGTCAGTTCCATCTAACTCAGCGTTGCCTACACTGACTGGCAGCCTTGGCTCACTGGCGGTTCGGACAGAGGAGTCTTTCCCAACCCTAGCTTTCTTTCCCAAACAATAAACTAAGGTCCCAGGTCTCATGGTTATGGAATAAAGGGCTGATTTCAGTAGGAAAGGAGGAAGCTGATGAACCCAGTGTTAGAAATGTAGATACAGTATATCAGCTAGGCGCCAAATGGCTCCTTAAACCGGGGTTACAGTTGCCAAAACGGAATGCCTTGTTGCCATTTTGGGGGCAGACAGCTTGAAAGTTGTATGTTTCAGTGTGACTTTTTGGTTCCTGAAATTCATTCTGATTGTGCAGATAAAATACCATGGATAGAATCCTACAGGTTGCGCTGCGAGAGTGCGAAAACAGTCCAGATCCAAGGATCTCCAGGCAGGCACCTCCAGAGGGTGGAGACTTCAGGTGTCATCCTGGCGCCCAGGCATCTTCACTGGGTCACAAAAGTGGCTGATAGCCAGGGCCAAAATGCTCCTGATTTGAACCCGGGACCTTCGGCATGCAAAGACTCAATGACCTTTGAGGTCCCTTTGTAACTCCGTGGTTCTGAACTTAGGGTGAGAGGTGTGTGCGCTGGGGATTGTGAGCTTACCTTGTTGGCATTGAGGTTTTGCAGAGAACAGTCACAGACTGTGGGTCTCTGGCCCCTCGTGAGCCTCCCTTTGGGGGCACCTGGCCACTGCGAGGAAGGGCTGCTGGACTAGAGGGACCCCTTTTGGCCTGATCCTGCAGCCGCCAGGCTCTACTGACGTTCTTATCTTCAGCACCACACCTGATGCCTTTTATTTATTTATCCATCTCACACCCTTCCTCATCCTGCTTCTGCCCCTTCGGTCTGATCCAGCCGCCTTGAGGCTCTGATGTTTGCATTTCACGGCTATTTCCACACGCCTCCCATGCCCAGGTGTGCGCATATACCTGCCAAACATCACCTACGTGGCTGTGATGACAAGGGGACTACAAAAGCTCATGATGACACAATGAATCTGTTGGCCTCTAAGGGGCCACAAGACTCCTCTCTGCTGCTTTTTCTGCAACAGACCAAGAGAGCTGCGAACCCCGCTGGAAACTGGGGCGTGTCTTGCCTTTTGCTCTCCTTGATGCACCGCAGTCCCTCTGTCTCCCACTGGTTTGGAGTGGAGGGCAGGGGTGAAACTGGGCTTTATTTCACCCGAGTCAAAGACCCAGTTTGCCGCACTCCCAATGCACACACACGCACAGGCTGGGAGCCTAAATGGCGCCCCTCTGGAGGCTTCCCCCGGCCAAAAAAAACCCAGATAGCCCCCTTCTGCCAGCTACAGGATTGGTGGAGGGTCTGGAAAAAGTGGGAGACTCAGCAAGTCCAGGGCTGTATCCAGCCCCGTCCTTTAGCTTAGGTGCCCAGCCGATTGGGATTTCAGCATCCAATTTTAAAAGCCACACAGACAGACACAGAGGGAGGTGCAGGCCCTCCACTGCCAGGGCTTGTGCCTTATGTGCCGCTCTCTTATTTTTTAATAATTGAGAGTAATAAATATGTATTCCTCCTTCCTTCTTCCTCCCACCCTCCGCAGCTTGTCAGCTCCCAGCGCCTCTCCTCTGATCAGGCCGCATCTTTCCTTGAGTGCAAAAAAAAGTGGGGGGGGGAGAGAAAGGGGGGGAAATCCTTTAAGCAAAAAAGGATTAAAGCTGGGAAAGTAGGGCTCTTATTGCCAGCGACTGAGGCCTCTTCTGGAAGGAGCCACCCTCCGAGGTTGGGAAAGGAGGCTGCCAGGGGCGGGGAGGCGAGGGTTCTTGGCCAAGGCCACTGATGGAGATGGGGGCGGGCAGGAATCAGTGTAAAGAGAGGCCCAGCCATGAAGCCCACTTCTTGTACAGTGGTACCTCAGGTTAAGAACTTAATTCATTCTGGAGGTTCGTTCTTAACCTGAAACCGTTCTTAACCTGAGATACCACTTTAGCTAATGGGGCCTCCCGCTACCGCCGGAGCACGATTTCTGTTCTCATCCTGAAGCAAAGTTCTTAACCCGAGGTACTATTTCTGGGTTAGCGGAGTCTGTAACCTGAAGCGTCTGTAACCCGAGGTACCACTGTACTTGTGTGTCTCTGTGTTGCAGGGGCAGTGCAGTAAAGAGGACAGGCTCTCTCCCTGCTTTCTAACCCAGCTTGTGAGAAGAGGGACCAGAAATGCAGCCTTGGTCAACCTGGTGCCCTTCAGATGCTTTGCTCTATGGCTCCCAACAGCCCCAGAGATGCCAGAGGGCGTCAGGTTGCTAAAGGCTGCGGCAGACCCTTCTGTATCGCCTTGGCGGTTGTCTTAGCAAGGCTTGGCGTAATCCCAAGGGCCAGGTCATGACTCCATTGGGAGGGGGGAAGCAGCCCCCTCCCCTGGGCGCTGGGTGCTCACATCACCCATTGGCTGAACCTGCAAAAGGGACCGAGGCCTCTGGGGCACTCTGGATCCTGCCCGACTCCCTCAGCCCTGCAGGGGACAGCACGGCCAATGGTCCGGTGATGGCAATAATGGGAGCCCAGGAAGTTCTGGAGGAGTTGCAGTCTTGAGGGGGTGGGCGCCACCTTCCTGGACCCCGTGGTTTTGCAAATCTCCAGGGAGGCTGTGGAAAAGACGCCCTGTCCCAAACCCTGGAGAGCCATGGCTGCCAAGTCCGTGTGGATGAAACTGAGCCTGGCTCCTTCTTAAGGCAGCTTCCTGGCTCTGGGGGCACCCCTTTGGGGCGCTGTGTGGGGACAGGACTCTGAATGAGGTGGCTTGATCCAGCAAAGCCAGGCTCTGCTTTGTTTCTTATGATTCCTAAACAGAACCTCCACGGGCAGATGGAGTCTACCTGGGAACGATGAACAGAAACAGGGGAAGGCTGTGCTCTCAGATCCTGCTGGTGGGGTTTCCTCTGGGGCACCTGGGCAGTCCCTGGGGCAAGAGGATGCTGGGATAGACAGGTAGGGCCCCCCCTGCACCTGCGCCTCTGGAAACCCTACAAATGTGGCTGGTGACAGCCCCTGCTTGCAGTCTGGTGTTTTCTTTTGGAGGTACCTCCCTGTCCAGCGCCTGTTGCTGTTTTAATCCAGCTGGCTTCCATCCTTTATTTGGGCGGTGGGGGGGGGAGTTTAGGGTTGCTTTTAGCTTTAAATGTTTTATGGCTGTCTCCATCGCTGCTCTTGTCTTTGAGCTCCGCGTTTATCGCAGAGTGCTTCCAGGGCCATTTGGCAGAGAGCGCGGCTTATAAATAAATCCCCCGGTAGCCAATTCTGAATGGGGATAGAGTGTACCCACTGGTGCCTCCACGGAGAGGGAGGGGGGACAGGCAACAGAGCCCACTGGGGGCCATTTAGTCCAGAGAAAAGGGAGCAAGAGAGACAGCAGGGTGGAAGTTTGCAAAATGAAGCCTGGTGTGAAGAAAGTGACCGCAGAAAAGTTTTTCTCCCTCTCTCATCACTCTGGCCCTCGTGGGCATCCAATGAAGCTGAATGTTGGGAGATTCAGGACAGATAGGGCCATAGAACTGTAGAGCTAGAAGGGACCCCCAGGGGTCATCTATCCCAACCCACTCCAATGCAGGAATCTTTACTAAAGCATCCCTGACAGATGGCCACCCAACCTCTGCTTAAAAACCTCAAATGAAAGAGAGTTCACCACCTTTGGAGGGGGTCCAATGCACTGCCAAACAGCTATTACCATGAGAAAATTCTTTCTAATGTTTAGTCAGAATCTCCTTTCTTACACATAAAGTAGACAGAAGAACGGACTTCTTCACGCAGCCCAGAGTTGAACTATGGAACTTACTGCTGCAGGACGCTATGGCTGGAGTGGCTTTATTTTATTTTATACATTTTTATTGATTTTTTAACATATCAGTTCCAACAGTCATATAACATATCTTCTCTGCTTATACAATATTTTAGACTTCCGTCAACACCTCTGATGATTTTCCCTTCTTTATCACTTGGCTGGAGTGGCTTTAAAAGAGGACTGGGCAAATTCAGGGAGGAGGGGAGGGCATTGAAGGCTACCAGCCACATTGGCCATGTGCTGCCTCCCCAGTCAGAGGCAGTATGCTGGGGACCATGAGTGGGGAGAGGGCTGCTGTTGTGGCCCTGTGGGGGGCTGCTTAGGGGCTTCCCTTGGGGCATCCGCTGTCCCCTGTGAGCTGGGCTGACCCAGCAAGCTCCTCTTCTGACAAGACAGAGACGCTGGCCTGTCCATCTGCAGCAGACTCCCCGGGGAGCCCTGGGAAGAGGGTGCTCAGCGCTCCTTCCTCTCCGGCACGAAGCGCTTTTTGAGTTCTGCTTAGGCTGCATTCCGCCTGGCTGCTGCCTCTGCCGCTCCTCCTCCCGCTGCCCTTTACACCAAGGGAGGCTTGCACGAGAACAGAGACGATCTGCACGCTCTCTCCCTCTCTTGCTGCAGTTGCTCCTTTCCCACCTGCGCAGATGGATCCGCCTAGACAGATCAGCACTCCTGGGTGACGCTGCCGCTTCCAGGCCTGGCTGGGCCTGGCACCCTCCGCCTGCCTGATGAATGAGCCCACGAGGAGCCCTTGCCATCCCACTGGAGGGCGGGCTCAGCGTCTCCCCGGGGAGGCCAACTCAGCCCGGGTATCAAGTCAAGCAAGTGTGCTGCGGAGAAAGGGGGGGCGTGCGTTGGGCTATTTTTAGCCCCTCCACCGTATTCCCAGGCCAGCTGCACTCTAAATAGATCCAGCCACATCCATGGAGCTTCTTCGGCCCCCTCCCCAAATCCTCCACACGGCAAGGCTGAGGAGGGGGCTGCTTTCCCTCTGGAATCATTGGCCCGGGGGTTTCACGCATGCATTTCTTTTGTGAACATCTTAACAGCTTTATATCCCTCCCGCCTTTCACCCTTGTGAGCCTGATGAAACGCACTCTTATTAGCGCATGGGAAACATATGCCATGAGACATTTGTTAGGCTTCCAGGTGCCACAAGGCGCTCTCTGCTGCTTCCTTGTGACTCAGGGGCAGTGCTGAGCCCGGGAAGCAGACAGATCCGGAGGTGAGCAGGGGATGATGGCCATGATAGTCCTGTGCAATTGACACACACACACACACACACACACACACACACACACACACCCAGCTGTCACCCAGAAGTGGGCAGGGATGATATCTAATGGGCTTTAAGTTACCGGAAGGGAGATTGACATTTAAGATTGCAAGAAGCAGCGAGAGCAGGACAGATAGATGCAAGGACTTATTCGTGCAGCACAGAGTGGAACTATGGAACTCCCTGCTGCAGGAAGCCGGGATGGCCACCCTCTGGGATAGTTCTCTAAAAGAGACAAACTCCTGGAGGAAGAGAGGACCACCCATGGCTCTGGTCTGCCTCCACAGGAATGCTTCTCAGTTGCTGGAAACCACAGGAGAGGAGGGCTGTTGTGCTGGGTTCCCCGCAGGTGTTTGGTTGGGAGAACAGGAGGCTGCTCTAGATGGGCCCCCTTTGGCCTGATCCTGCAGGCTCTTCTTCAGTTCTGACACCTTTCCATCATAGGACCAAGGAGGGAGGAAGGCAGGCTTCCGCAGGCCAGTCGCCGGGACTCTGAAGTGGGAAGAGTGGATGTTGTCCTCGGGTTCTGCTTGTGGGCATCTGGCCAGCCACTACGAGGGCAGGTGCTGGGCACCCTCTGGCCTCATCCAGCCTGCTCTGAGGACCTTCTGATGTTCTTTAGTTTGGCCAGGATTGCACGGAGGCCACCACATACATTTTCTTTAATGCCACTCTGTTTTATGATAATGGCGGTCTGGAATGACTCATAATAAATGCAACTGAGACCATCTCCATTCAGCGCCCAGAAAAGCCCCCCTTTCCCACATTGGTCTGCCTTGCTGCTCAGCTGCTTCCTGTGCTGCTCCAGCCTGGATGAGGGAGCCTCTGATTTGCAGGGAAAGGGCCACTGGAGCTCAGCAGCAGAGCACCTGCTTGGCATGTAGAAGGAGATCCTTGGCAACATCTCCAGGCCCAGCTTGGAAGGACCCCTTGCCTGAGACCCTGGAGAGCTGCTGCCAGTCAGTGTAGACAAGACTGAGCTAGATGGGATAAGGCAGCTGGGGGGGGTTAAATGGGGCTAGGTAATGAGAATGCTGTGTGCCTACAGCTCATGTCAAGAGGAAACTGCAGGAGCAGGGAGCTTTCTTGCTGTCCCACTTGGGGGCTTCCCATAATGGGCCCCTGGTTGGCCCCATGAGGACAGGAGACTGTGCTCAATAGGACTGCAGCCCGATCCAATGGGGCTCTTCTAATGGAGGTCTGTTGCAAAAGCAGAACCTCCATGTCCAGGGACAGTCTACCTTTGAATGCCAAATAGGGGTAACTGGAAAGTTGCCGTTGCATTCGGTCCATGCTTTTCAGCTTCCCATTTTAGGGATCTTGTCGGACAATACGAGTACAGGATGGTGGCTTTGATGAGCCATGGGTCTGATCCAGCAAGTGCCTTTGATGTTGGCTGTTAAGGGTCCTCCCATGTCCTTCATCACCCCAAGAAATACAAAAGCAAAAGGCTGGAGGGAGAAGCCCACCCTGAGCCCCAGGACCTGGGCTCTCCTGGAAATGGGGTTGCGGTTGGGGTGGCAGATTGGGTGAGGGGGCCCAGGCTTGCGGAGGGAGGCTGTGCCAGAACTGCCCCCCCTCCCTGGCAGGCTGGTCAGTGCAGGAGGGTCTCCTCCTCTTCCTCCTGGCGTCTCTTCCTGGCCCACCTGCCTGAGCAGGCGCAGCCCCTCCTTGCCAGCACTCGGCTCTCTCCGAGATCGATAGAGCCAAGAAGCAGCACGAGAAAACAAGGTGAATATTTCATAGGATCCAGGGAGGCTCCCCTCCCCCTCCGGCCGCCTGTCTCCCTCCACGGCCAGCTGCTCACGGCTCCAGCAGCAGCTCCTCTGCGGCACGGAGGCAGGAGGGATCTGCTGGCCAGGGTGGGGTCAGCCCTGCCAGCTGGGCCTCGGCAAGAGCACCCTGGGGTCCCACAAGCATTGTCACCCCATGACTGTTGGGCTTCTCCACCACCAGCACCTCACGTCTCTCTGTGTCCCCTAACCCTAACCTGGATGGCTTTAAAAAAGGGTTGGACAAATTCATGGAGGAGGAGAGGGCTATTGAGGGCTGGTAGCCACAATGGCATACCCTCCAACATTTCTCCGATGAAATTAGGGACGTCCTAATGGCTCTGTGGGTTAAACCACAGAGCCTAGGACTTGCCAATCAGAAGGTCGGCGGTTCGAATCCCCGCAATGGGGTGAGCTCCTGGTGCTCAGTCCCTGCTCCTGCCAACCTAGCAGTTCGAAAGCACGTCAAAAGTGCAAGTAGATAAATAGGTACCACTCTGGCGGGAAGGTAAACGGCGTTTCCGTGCGCTGCTCTGGTTCACCAGAAGCGGCTTAGTCATGCTGGCCACGTGACCCGGAAGCTGTACGCCGGCTCCCTCGGCCAGTAAAGCGAGATGAGCGCCACAACCCCAGAGTCGTCTGTGACTGGACCTAATGGTCAGGGGTACCTTTACCTTTACCTTTAATCCATGATGATGATGATGATACAGTAGTAATAGTAATAATAATAATAATAATAATAGTGTTATTTATACCCCGCCCATCTGACTGGGTTGCCACAGCTAGTATATAAAAACACAATAAAACATTAAACATTTTTTTAAAAAAACTCCCCTCTACAGGGCTGCCTTCAGATGTCTCCTAAAGGTTGCCTAGTTCCTTATCTCCTTGGCTCGGGGGACACATAACTCTGTACGCTCCAACATTTCTCTGATGAAAGTAGGAGCAGGAGCTTTCTCTCTTTCACAGTGAGCCCTAGATTGAGAGGAACCGATGGGTGGGAGAGGATGGGGCAGCCCCACACCACCCACCCAACGCCCACTGAACACCCACAACTTCCCCCAAAGACTCCTGGCAACTTATCTCAGTGTGCCAGGACCTCCAGCTCTGTGAGTGAGGAAATTGCAGGGCTTCAGAATGGATGGGGCAGACCTGCCCTAGATCTTGTGGGGCTGGAGGACGTGGCAGAGAAGGGGGACTCTTTCCTCTCCCCATGCACCCGTCCCTTGAGGTTTGGGAGGATGGAAGATGCAGGTTGAGAGGTGGCTGATCCCTGGAAATCTGCAGCCCGGCCGCAGTCTGGAGCGGTGGAAGTTTTTGCAGCTGCATTGTGTGTTGGGGGGGAGGGGCACACGACTGTTGACATGTTTTTTTGAAACAATTTCAGATCCGATATCTTTGCCAGATTGAGTTTGTAACCAGCTTTATTGTTTAAGCCCTGCTGGGATTTCATCAAAGGCGTCTGCTGTTTACCCAAAGACATTTCATTGGAGAAAACAGCAAACAGGCCTGACGCTCCATCTGATTTCACGTTTATTCAACCCCCCTTTTTTTTCCTGGGGAATTCGGGAGCCGGTGAAATGGCGGGGGTGTGATAAGGCAAGAGAGCAATGTGGCGAAACCCCCCACCCACCCGACGTGGCTCCGTGGGGACTTCCAGGCTGTGCCAGTGCACAATAGCCTTGTCTTTGAAAGTATTTGTTGTTGTTCTGTTTACTGCATTTGTATCCCACCTTTTCCTCCAAGGGGCTCAAAGTGGCATGCGTGGTTCTCCCCCTCCTTGTTTAATCCCCACCCCAGCCCTGCGAGGTAGGCGAGGCTGAGAAAGGCAGCAACTGGCCCAACCAAGGTCACACTCCGTGTGGATTCGAACCCAGGTCTCTCCCAAGTCCTAGCCTGACACTCCAACCACTGCGCCACACTGTCCCTGGCCCAGGTGCAAAGGAGGGAAACAGAGAGTGGGGCCTTCCCCCTTCCTTGCCCTTCTTGTGCCAGGGTTGTGCCTGAGGTGGGCTTCCTTTTGCTGAAAGATGCTTTTCTTGTCCGGGAGGCAAGGTGGGCCCAGGGTGGGCCTGATCCATCATGACATGCTGCCAGTTCACCCTCAAAATGGTCCAGCTGTCATCGGAAAAGCCAAATGGAGCGGCCGTCCCCCATCCCAGCGCCCTCCAGATATCTGGGACTACAACTCCCAACAGCGCCAGCATCACTCGGCAGCACTGGCTGGGACTGATGGGAATTGTAGTCCCCAAACAAAGGGAAGGTCTGAGGCTCACAGGAAAAGCAGCAGCAGAAGGAGCGCAGGGAGCAGGATTCGCCTCGTCCGAATTAACCCATTGGTCACTGTAAGAGCAAGAGGCTGGACTGGATGGGCTCCCTTTGGCCCGGTCTGGAAGCAAGGCTGATTCAAGCCTTCATAAGAAAATCAGGGGAGGTTTTCTGGACCCCACTAGGCCAGCATCCTGCTCTCGCAGGGGTCAAGCAGGTGTCCCCAAATGGAAGCCCAAGCAGGGAGTGAGAGGGATGGTCTTTTTCCACTGCGGCTCCCTAGCAGTCTAAGGTAGGCTGGATCTGTCCATGGAAGCTCTGCTTAGACCAAAGGAGGGACCGCCCAATGTCCATCCAGCTGCCCCCAATAGCAAGCAGGGCCCAGGTACTAGAGCAACGCTCTCCCTACTTGCGATTCTCCCAGAGGCGTTCACTGCCTCTGACAAGTGGAGACCCAACTCATTCTCTGGGTTGGTTTTTGCTTGTGCAAAGGTGGAAGTAATATCTAATAAAGCGAATTGCTCTCGCACCTTCGCTGCCTCTGCACCGGAAGGGGAGCTTTGCAGTTTGGGGCGATGACTCACGAGCCAGCCCCCTACCTCCCCCCATCCCAACCCCTGCTTGTCTCGGGGGCACCTGACGGCATTGCCCCGCAAACCCTCTCCGCCACACACCTCCCGGGCGAACGCGGCTGGCTTGTCTCCTCCATCTATCACACCTGCGCTGTGACAATGTAATTTTTATCTCTGGTTGTTTATTTCTCAGATGGAACTACTTGTAAATTCCGGGAAGAATATATCTCTCTGCGTGTGACACAACCAGCACAAGCCGATTAATCTGGCCTTTTAGGAGTGGAACGGGGAGACAGGGCAGAGGTGCCCCCCGCCTGTGCAATTGAGGGGGGAGTGGTGGCACCAGGAGGGGGGGCTGCCTGGCAGAAGCAGGACCAATTGCACCCCCACCCCAGTTTTCAGCATAAATGCGCTTGAATGTGTGACAGAGCAGCCAGGAACCCTGACAGAGAAAAGTCTGCTTTTTACCCAGTGAAGCCACAGTCCCATCTAGGTCACTATAGACTGCACTGATGGGCAGCAGGGGGTGTCTCTGCCCGGCCCTACCTGGAGGTGGCATTGGGCCTTCTGCATGCCAAGCAGGTGCTCTGCTGCTGAGCTAGAGTCCTTCCTCTAAAGCGTCTCTGGTCTTTGTGGTTCTGAATCAAGGGCTGGTTTTAAATAGGGACATTGGAAGCTGCCTTCTGCTGTCTCAGACCCTTGGTCCATCTTGCTCAGTGCTGTCTACACTGACTGGCAGCAGCTCTCCAGGGCTTCCGGCAGGGAGTTTCTCCCAGCCCCACCTGGAGAGGTCATTAGAGATTGAACCCGGGGCCACCTTCTTGCAAGGCGGACGCTCTGCCACTAAAGTACGGTTCTCCCCATCGCTTTGGGAGCTCAGCTGCCGGCCTCATTCACCGCCCCACCCCAAAAAACACCCTTTTGGCCCAGCCCCAAATCACCCCCCTTCTCAAAGCACCTTTTTGCACCCCAGGTGCCGTGAGAGCATCCAGAGCCCTTGTGAGAAAGGCACCTTAGAATAAAGAGCTGTGAGGTCGGGGGCTGAGATCCTCTTGCCCTGAAGGCAGCTTCTCTATGAGGGTGTTGGGTGGACATTTTCAAGGTCATGACCAGGCGAGAGTCTTTGCAGGAGCCAGCCCCAACTAGGCCTTGGTAACCCGAGGGCTGTTCCTCTGATCCAGGACTCTGCACATGCTCTTTAGTGCTTTGGCTATTTCATGGAATCCTAGAAGGGGTCCCGAGAGCCATCTAGCCCAACCCCCTACAATGCAGGAATCTTTTACCCAACATGGGATTCGAACCCATGACCCTGAGAAGAAGAGAGTCATGCTCTGCTGACTGAGCTATCCAATTGCCCTTGAATGATCACAGCTACCCTGTGACACTTGATGTCAGAGAACAGGGGGTTTAAACTTCTCTCACCCCGACCCCAATTGTAGTCCACCATTGTCCTTCCGCTAGACTGCTTCTCTCTCTTTCTCTTTCTCTTTCTCTTTCTCTTTCTCTTTCTCTGTCTCTTTCTCTCCCCCTCTTTCTTCTTCCTTCCTTCCTTTCTCTCTCTCTCTCTCTCTGCTAAACAATAATCCCCCCACATTCTGAGGCAGGGAAGAAGAGCCAAATTCTGTGACCTGATTAAGCAGATTTGCCCAGGCAGGCAAGCAGGGTCTGTCTAATTCCTACTGGCGCGGGGAGGTTGGCGGGGGGAGAGAGAGAAGAAGCAGTGAGTCAGAGCCCTGGGACCCTCTGGCAGGACTGGCGTGGCATTCTGCCTGTCACACACAAACACGCCGCCCTGCCTGGGATGTTCCACCATGCAAAACACCAGCGCCAACTGGGGGTCCCTTGCTGGGGGAGACCCCACCCAACAAGAGCCTCTTCAGCCCTCTCCTATTTGGTCTCCCTCCTTCCACCCTGCCAGTCTCCATGGGCCTATGCTGTTAGCCAGGGCACTGACGGAGAACCTCCAAGTCCAGGGGCAGGCTACCTCGGAATGCCAGCTGTGGAGGGACAGGCGTCAGGAGTGGGGCTGTGCCTTTGTGTCCTGCTTGGAGACGCAATGCTAATCTCAATCCGGCCCGTGGACGGTCCGGGAATCAGCGTGTTATTACATGAGTAGATTGTGCTATTTAAAATGCATCTCTGGGTTATTTGTGGGGCATAGGAATTTGTTCATTTTTTTTTTTCCAAAACAGAGTCCAGCCCCCCACAAGGTCTGAGGGACAGTGGACTGGCCCCCTGCTGAAAAAGTTTGCTGATCCCTGGTTTAGGGCATGTAGGAATCTTCCCCTTTGCCCCTCCCTCTGCCCCCGAGTTCCCCTTTCTTTCCTCCCTTGCTAGGTGGTCAGTCTTGCTGCTCCCCCTGGACCCAAGGAAGGGGTCAGGCCCCTTGGTAGGAGGCTCCCCCCACCTCCCCTCAAGCATTACCTTGAGTGTAAATGTTGGATTCAAATGTCAGGAAAGGAGATTCCGACTAAACATTGGAAAGAACACCCAGACAAGCCAGGGCTGTTCGACAGCAGACTGGCTGGGACGGTGGCAGGCTCTCCTTCCTTGGAGACTTTAAAGCAGAGAGATTATTTGGCTGTGATTCTTCCATTGCAAGGGGTTGGACTAGATGGCCTTTGGTAGTCCCTTCCAACTCTACAATTTATACGATTCTGTGAATGTGAAGAAGGCTTCTGTGTGACCCGAAAGCTGGCACCCCCTTTAGCAGTTTGCCCCCTGTGGCTTTTCTGTGTTCGGGGGGTCAGATGCGGCCCCTTTGCATCCCCCCCGCCCCCGTATTCAGAGCAGTGCAGTGGCAGGTGGTGGCACAGGCCCCTTTGGACCCCCGCTGAGCTTCTGTGCTGAGCTGTGGCTGCTGCCGCTGCATCTTTGGGAGGTTTATGCAAATGCGGATTTGGGCCTCCCTCTTCCTGCTCTGGCCTGCGCCATGGCCCAGATACGGAAAGTGCTGAGCCGACACTTGCGCTGGGGGGGGCAGTGTGGCCGCCACTCCAGCCAGCCATCTGCAAGGCTCTCTCGAGCTGGGGGAGGGCGGGGAGGAGGAGGAGGAAGGTGGGGGGTGCACGAGAGGCCGCTACGCACCCAACAACTTGAGGGATAGTGCCAGGTGGCAGGCCCCCCCCACTCAAAAACCCCTGTCCTGCCAAGTGCATCTTCCTTACGGAGACACCTTTTTCTCCTCCCCCAAGCCTGCTTATTCACAGACAGCACCAAATGTCCACACGTACACGCACACACACTTTCTGCAGGGTGCCACTGACACCCAGTGCGTCATGATCCGAAGAGGAGCTTGGTGGGGAGAGAGAAGCCGCCCGGCATCTCTGAGATGTGCTAATGGCTTGCAGGAGGGAGGCAAGGAGGCCTTCTCCTGCCAAGTTTCCTACAGTGAAGGGCACAGAGCATATGCTTGGCATGCAGAAGGCCCCAGGTCCAATCCCCAGCGGCAGCTCCAGGCAGGGCTGGTAAAACGACTCTGCCTGAAATCCCAGAGAGCCTCTGCTGCTGGTCAGTGCAGACACTACTGAGCTAGATGGGTGAGTAGTCTGCAACAGGATGGGGTTAGGACATGGGTAGGCAAACTAAGGCCCGGGGGCCAGATCCGGCCCAATCGCCTTCTAAATCTGGCCCCCGGACGGTCTGGGAATCAGCGTGTTTTTACATAAGGAGAATGTGTCCTTTTATTTAAAATGCATTTCTGGGTTATTTGTGGGGCATAGGAGACCGTTCATATTCTTTTTCAAAATATATTCTGGCCGCCCACAAGGTCTGAGGGACAGTGGACCGGCCCCCTGCTGAAAACATTTGCAGACCCCTGGCGTTGGATTAGTGGCAGAGCTTCTGCCCTGCATGCCGAAGGTGCCTGGCTCAATCGCCCACGGCATTTCCAGGGAGGTCTGGTAGGGAGCCCTGCCTGAAACCATAGCTGCCAGTCAGTGCCAACACTCCTGAGCAAAATGGACCAATGATTGTGCTCCTGTGGTCAAGGTCTCCTACCTGGGAGGCAGTTGGCGGAGGAGAGAAGGGAGGAGTAGCGGGATCCTGAAGGCACCCATTTATGCATCTCTGGATGAGGCCCTTCTCTGCCTCCCCTGGTTGCTCCATGTCAGCGGATGGGCCCAGCCATGTGGGGTGTCTGGGGCTCAGGGCCAACATGCTGGGTTTGTATGCCTGAGAATGCAGGAGGCAGAGACTGGCTGGCAACACTGCTCCCTATACACACCCCTCCATCCTTCCACCTCTCCATCCCTCCATCCATTCCTCCATCTCTCCATCCCTCCAGGCCTCCTAAAAGCCTTGCTATAGTTGCCAGAAGAGGTGGGGGAGCTGCAGAGAGAGAGGAGGTGACCCTCTTGAGAGAAGGGGCAGAACATTCCTCTGGAAGATAACTTGGTGTTCTTCCAAACCCTTTTATTGTCTCAAACTTCCCCAGCACAGTTAAACTCCTTTGGCTGCAGCCTGTCTTCTTCTGGGGGGGGGAGATCGCTCTGGTCCCAGGGCAGGGAAGGGAGGGGCCCCCTCCGCTGAGGCACACCCTCAAGTGTTGCTGCTGCCTCATTTGAGCTGCACGCATGATTCATTGGCAGATCGCTCTCTCTATCCACTTAGGATCACAGGGCAGTTTGCAATACAATCAATGAAGCAATAAAAAAAGAATACTAGCCATAAAACCATTAACAGCAAAGCGTTCGATAAAAACCAGGCGCTCGCTCTTCCTCGGGTCAGGGCAGCAAGGCTTAATTTTGCAAAGCTTATCGTCCGATTGTCGTGCGCTCGGTTTGGGCTCCTGGAGCCAGGGATGGGGCCAGAAAGGTGTTCCGTGCGCATCTGGTGCAAACAGGAAAAACAGGCGCTTCCCAAAAGAGGAAGCAAAGGGCACCCAAGGAGCCTTCGAAATTCACAGCTCCGAATTTTGCAATGCACTCCTCCCACGGAAGCAGGCGCGCAGAAAGTTGGATATTAGTGGAAAATAACGGGCCACAATTCAAACCTGCTAGCTGGCAACAATCCATATATTAGGCAAGATGGCATACAAAAATGTGTATATCTGGAGAAACGTGTGCAAATGTTCAAGAAGGACGCAAATGTACATGGAAAGGGAGCAAATTGGTGAGAACAGGATTCTGGACCCGGCGGAACTAACCCAGCTTCAGGGACTCTTCTGGCTGTAGCCCCCCTGCCCTGAGCTGCCCCACATACGGTGTGCGTCTGTGTGACCCTGCCCAGCCCCTTTTCCTTTTTCACATGAGGGGGGGATATTCCAGCCCGGTGCACAAAAAACGAGCCTCCCTCCCTTAATGGCCGTTTCAGGCATCCGCTGTTTCTCAACCCAGTTCCCGGGCAGTGAGTCATCCTCCCTGGTCGCTGTGCTCAGTGAGTTCCACCCTGGAATTGGGTCCCTGTGGCTGGCGGGGCTGCCCTCTGCCTCCTGCCCCACAGAAAGGCAGGTCTGCCAGCGCAGTCACAAGTCACTCAACCCAAACTCAAGTGCTTTGCAGGGGGCGAAATACTTCTCCTCCTGCTGCTTTTTGTGTCTGTTGCTAATTCATGGGGAGATAATAAGAAGGCTCTGGGTGGGTGGGTGTGTGTGTGTGTGTGTGTGTGTGTGTTTTTGCGTGAGGAAAAAGGGGTGGATCAGACAATGCCTGCACGGGGCTGCAGAATGCCTGGCCCGGAATTGGATCCTCCTTGATTGTCTCTCCTCTTCCCTCCTCAAATGGAAGCTGAGTCTATCATCTCTGGCCAAATGAGAGGCTGCCTCTCTCTCTCTCTCTCTCTCTCTCTCTCTCTCTCTCTCTCTCTCTCCCCTCCACACCAGGGAGGAAGAGGCAGCGAGGAGAGGGAGGGAAAATCACAGGTTATTTTTCCACACTTTGGAAAAAAGGAGGCATTCTGAGCGAGGCCAGGCTGAATAGGGCTAGGAAATTGCCTCGCAGGCCTGCTCTCTGCAGGGACGGCCTCTTTCGCGGCCCCCAAGTATTTGGAAACCTAATTGTGCGTTTGCGCCGGCCACTGTTTTCGTTTCCCCCCGCGCAGGTCTCAGAGGTGGGCTTTGAAGATTGCTGTCGCTCCGTAATGGCTTTCCTTTATCTTGAGCAAACTCCACACACCTGCGAGGCGGAGCTCCTCGAGAGAAATGGGGCCAGAAATTGGCTCTCAGTTTAATAAACCTGCAAACGGGGAGAGAGGCAGAGCGGGTTGAGTGGCAGGTGCAAGGGGGGGGGGGATAGGAGGGGGTGCTGACGCTGCCATTGGCTTGCGATTGATCAGCTTCCCAGGAATGGCTCCCCCCCCCCCCGACTTCCAAAAATCCTGCCCAGGATGGGATTTATGGACCAAGTCTTTTGGGCTCGGCCCCCGGCCCTTCCCTAGCTTTGCAGCTGTGAGAACACTGGTCCATCTAGCTCAGTATCGGCTACACTGACTGGCAGCAGCCCTCCAGGGTCTCAGGCAGAGATGCTGTGAGCGAATGAACCTGGGATCTCCCACCTGGCAAGCAGCGGCCCTGCCATGGAGTCAGGCTCCCACCGAGCTGGGCGTCCTTCTAGCTCAGGACTGCCTGCACTGACCAGAAGCAATGGCTCTCTGGGTCTCAGACAGAAAGTCCTCACCAGCTGTCCCTGGAGAAGTCATTGGGGATGGAACTGGCGACCTTCTGCATGCCAAGCAGGAGTCCTGGACCACTAAGCTCTCCAGAATACATGGGGTTTGGCCATCCTGCTGTGAAGTCCTGTGCTCCTGCCTGGACAGCACCACCAGGCGCAAGGTGCGCCTTGCTATTGGGGGGTGCTGCCCCCAGCTTCCTCTTCTGCATGCCAGAGGCCGACTGGCTGACCTTGGGCAGAATTGCTGCATGGGAGCTGCATGGGACTAGCAAGGGCCATGTAGTCCAACCCCCGCAATGCATCTTGGCCGTGCTCTGCCAGCAGCCTGGCACAAGCGCCCAGCTATCCAGACAGCCACCTATCCCCCCTTGCCAGGCCAGATGCCTTCCCCCACTTCACAGAATCATGGAATTGTTGAGTTGGAATGGAACCACAAGAGTCATCTAGTCCAACCCACCGCAATGAAGGAATCACAGCTCCAGAATCTCGCCCACCCAACACCTCCGATGAGACGGTGCAAGGCAGGAGCTGCAGTTGGGGGCTGCTGCCAGATGGACCTTATGAGCCCACCTACTCCAAGGGGGCCAGGTGGGGAGGGAGGTCTCAGCCCGGCTTGGACTGGCAGCCCTCTCCTCGGCCTCTTCCCCGAAGGAGCCCAGAGCCTCTTTGCTGCTCCTTGCCGGCTTCCGGCTGCGGCACTTAATGCCGCCACGCTCGGCTGCCTCAGGCCGCCTCTCTGGTGTCAAGAGGCTTCTCTGCTTCTCCATCCCCCCAGCAAAACCCCGTGGCTCCTTGATGAACCACTGCTGCAAGGGGGGGGGCATGCAAAATCCCTTTACAGTGAGGCCGAGCGAGCCGAGAGGAGAGGCCGGGGCTCGGGGCTGCTCTGCGCTGGCCGTGCGCAGAAGGAGACAGGGCGAGGTTTTGCCTCTTCTCCTCCCTCCAGCCGGGACTCAGAAAAGCTGCTATTTTTTTCCTATGGCTCTGAGCTCTCAATGCATTCAGACGGCATCCCGTTGGCAGAGGAGGGGAAAACGCTCTGGTTCTGGGGAGCCTGTGCTGTGACGGGGCTGGCTGGCCCCGATTCGCAGGGATGCTCACCATGCAGGAAGAGTAAGGGTCCGGTCAGCTGTTCCAAGCATCGGAGGTTCCAGTTGTAAACAGTGGAACTCCCCGCAGCAGGAGGCTGTGAGGGCCATCAGCTTGGACGGCTTTAAAAGAGGATTGGAGAAATTCATGAAGGAGGAGAGGGTTTTCATTTTCTTTTTTTTAATACATTTTTATTGGGGTTTCTTTTAACATATCATATCCAACAATCATATAACATAACCTCTTATCTTATACAATATTTTAGACTTCCGTGAACACCTCTGATGATTCTTCATTCTTTATCACTTATTCTGCATTTCTTAATTTCTCTATTACTCTTAATTATCATTAACTAATAATTCTCCTCCTAGTCTTTATTGCAATATTTCAAATAGTCCTCCTTACAAAACTTCTTGCAATCCTACTAGCGTAATCTGTTCATTACAATTACTTTTCAAATAGTTCATATATTTACTCCAGTCTTCTAAGAATCTCTGGTCCCGCAGGTTTCAAACCCTTCCTGTTAATTTATCTAATTCTGCATAGTCCATCAATTTCATCTGCCATTCTTCTTTTGTTGGTAATTCTTCTTGCTTCCATTTTTCTGCCAGTGGAGGAGAGGGTTTTCAATGGCAACTAGTAGTGATGGCTCAGAGGCAGCCGTGCTTCTGAATACCAGTTGCTGGAAACCACTGGTAAGGGAAAGAGAGCTCTTGCACTCGGATCCAGGAGGGGCATCTGGCTGGCCACTGAGAGACCAGGCTGCTGGACTAGAGGGGCCACTTGCTGGTTTCCCTATCAGAACAATGGCCCACCTTATGCCCCCAAGGAAAACCCACCCCCAGGATCTGAGCACAAGAACAACTCTCCTGTTGTTCCCCATAACATCATGCTCATGCAGAGGTACACTGTCCCCGCGCATGGAGGTTCTGCTATCACAGCAGACCGTTGTCATAAGAAGAGCCTGGTGGCTGGACCAGGCAAAGTCCAGCCTCCTGTCCTCACAGTGGCCACCCAGATGCCCCCAAGGGGTGTATAGCTCAGTGGGGGGAGCATGAAGGTCTTACTTTCAGGGGTTTGAGCCCCACATGGGACAGAAGATTCCTGCATTGCAGGGGAGAGGACCAGGTGATCCTTGTGGTCCCTTGCAAGGGTATAATTCTGCGCAAAGGACAAGAGCCCCCTCGGAAGCATCTCTGGCGGCAGAGCCGAGCCACCGCCAGGCCTCTCCCCCTCCGTGAATCTGCTGCTTCCCTCCAGCTCCACCTGCCGAACAATGGGCCCCTCGGCGCTCCTCCTTTGTGCTGCCTCTTCATCTCACCCTCTCCCACCAGAACCCTTTTCACCAGAACCCGCTCACGGCTGCCGGCATTGTGGGCGCTTTTATATATAGCCCCAACGCACCGCGTCCTCGTCGTCAAGCGTCCTCCAAGTGCCTCGTTGAAGTTTTCCGCGCCGCTCATCACCATGGCATCCAAACACCCGGCAGGGCTGAACAAGGGCCCGGATCCCATTTCGGAGGCACTCGGCCCCTCGCTCCACCCACCCCCTCTCCCTCAGTCCCAGCCTCTCATTGTCACCCAAGCAGCTTCTTCTGGGGGTTCCTGCCTATGCCTGGGTACTTTGCAGGCTCTTCAGAGACAGCGCACACACCCCCGGCCCCAATCTATGCTCCCCTTTCAGCTTCTGTCAGCTCTGCCTCCCTTCTTCCCTCCTTCCCTCACTCTTTCTCATCTCAGGAAGGATTTCCTCCTTCTGCCAGGCAGCCGAGCCCCGTGCCAAACAGCTCTTGCTGTTAAGCCAATTTCCCTAATGGCTCAGGTAGAATCTACTACCTCTCTTGTGTAGTAGTTTAAATTCAGGGCGGGCAACTCCCCGTCTTCCTTCCCTGAGCTGCCTTTAAATATTTGGAAACTGAGCTGCCTTTAAATATTTGGAAAACACGCGGGTGGGGTGTAGTTTGAGATTCCTGAGATTTCCTTTCCTCGAGATGTGTGCCTGCTCACTCAGCTGGCCATAGAGAAACAGGCCACAGGCCTGCCGTGAGATGCCGGGGGAGGGGGGCTGCCAGGGGCAGCGGCTTTGGGTGGTCCCTGCAGTGGTGACCTGGTTCACAACACCCACGTTTCTCTGGGCCAGGAAGGGATCCATTGGCAGGAAGGGAAATCCCTCCACCCCCAGGAAACGCCCCACTTTAGGGCTGTCCCTACCATCAGACAGCGTCAAGCAGTTACCTCGGGTGTCAGATGCCAGGAGGCCCCAGCCTAGGTAGCTTTAAAAGAGGATGGGACAAATTCATGGAGGAGAAGAGGGCTAGCAATGGCTCCTAGCCAGGATGGCTCTGCCCTGCCTCCGCTGATGGAGGCAGCAATGCTTCTGAATGCAGTGGTAAAGGGAAAGGAACCCCTGACCATCAGGTCCAGTCGTGGGCGACTCTGGGGTTGCGGCGCTCATCTCGCTTTATTGGCCGAGGGAGCCAGCGTACAGCTTCCGGGTCATGTGGCCAGCATGACTGAGCCGCTTCTGGTGAACCAGAGCAGCGCAGGGAAATGTCGTTTACCTTCCCGCCGGAGTGGTACCTATTTATCTACTTGCACTTTGATGTGCTTTCGAACTGCTAGGTTGGCAGGAGCAGGGACCGAGCAACGGGAGCTCACCGCATCGCAGGGATTCGAACCGCCGACCTTCTGATCAGCAAACGCCACCCACGTCCACAATACAGTGGTACCTCGGGTTAAGCACTTAATTTGTTCTGGAGGTCCATTCTTAACCTGAAACTGTTCTTAACCTGAGGTACAACTTTAGCTAATGGGGCCTCCTGCTGCTGTCGTGTGATTTCTGTTCTCATCCTAAAGCAAAGTTCTTAACCCGAGATACTATTTCTGGGTTAGCGGAGTCTGTAACCTGAAGCATCTGTAACCTGAGGTACCACTGTACCAGCTTCTGGAAGCCAAAAGAAAGGAGAGCTCAGACCATGCATGCAGATTTCAAGAGAGGCATCTGGCTGGCCACTGGAAGAACTGGGTGGGCCACTGGCCTCATCCGGCAGACTTGCCTTACGTTCTATGGGGAGGCCTCACGGAATGAGCGGTGGAGGAAGTCGCTTGGGTGCCCCGGGGCGGGGCAAGCTGTCCATAGGGGCGGGGCACACCACGCTGCCTGCCTCCCTCCCTCCCACTCAGCCACCCTGCAGCTGGGGGGGGGGGAGGCAGCGGGCGGACCATTTGGGCAGCGCGGAGCCTGCATGCACCCAAGCCACCATCTCTCCCAGGAGAGACGCATAACTCGGGTGCGCTGCAGGCATCAATGGGGAGTGCCGCCCGGCATTTTGCCACCACCCTCAGTGGTGACACCCGGGGCGGCCCACACCCACCGCTCCCCCCCTTCCCCTGCCCTTGGCTTCATAACAAGAATGCGACAGGAAGGGACCACAGGGGGCCTGTCTAGTCCAGCCTCTTGCTCTCACAGTGACCGAAAAGTTGCCCGTGGCAAACCCACAAGCAGGATCCGAGCACAATAGCACACCCTCCAATATTTCTCTGATGAAAATAGGCACGTCCCATTCCATAATGATATTTTTACCATTTATACCCCACACATCTTACTGCGTTTCCCCAGCCACTCTGGGCAGCTTCCAACACATATAAAAACATAATAAAACATTAAACATTAAAAAAACTTCCCTATACAGGATTGCCTTCAGACAGCTTGGGGGTCAGGTAACTCCACACCCTCCAACATTTCTCCAGTGAAAACAGGAACATCCTAAGGAAAAGCGGGGCATTGTGGGATCAAATCAGAAATTGGGACAGCTTCTCTAAATCAGGGATGTCCCTGGAAAATGGGGACACTGGGAGGATCTGCAATAGCCCTCTTTTAAAGCCTTCTACGTTGGTGGCCATCCCTGCCTCCTGTGGGAGGGAGTTCCACAGTCCAACTGTGCATTGCGTCCTTCTGTGGGAGAGCGGCGCTGGGTCTGCTGCACCCCCAGGACTGTGTCTGCTCTGCCCCACGGCCAGAATTGGCCCACAGGCGATACACTCCCCATGCTGCCTGGGCGGTTGGAAGCGAGCCTCCAGGCTACAAAGGGGCTCGCCCCCCCCCCCACGCACACTAAGGAGTGGGGCGTTCATCACTCCCCTTTCCAGGGGGACAGAGATGGCTGCTCCAGCCCCGCTCCCCCCGCTCCCCAGGGCGGCTGGTAATGGAGCGTCCCTCGGGCGCTTGACTCCATTAAGTGTGAATCAGACAGCCTGGACAGGGCAAATTGATCTGCTGCGCAGCCGCCCCTCCAGATTGAGAGCGGCTCTTATCCGTGCTGCCGGGGCCTCCGTGATTGGATTAGGGGCTCCTAATGGGCCAGGGCCCTGGTGCTGTCGCTGGGCTGGCAGTGGAGCTGTCAGGACAGGCGGAGGGTGCAGACTCCTGCCTGTAATCGAATCAGTGGCTGGCAGGGCCTCTCGCCTGGCTGGGCACTGGGCCGTGCAGGTGGCTGGACAACAGGCAGGCAGGCAGAGAGAAGGCCATGCCAAGCAGGGCTAAACCAGCAGGGCTTGGTGTGGCCACGGGGAAGCTGCCCTCTGCTCCTGGGCTCCAGCTCTCAGAGACTCCAGGCCTGGCAAGTCAGCTAGCCTGGCTGACCTGCCAGTCCCTCCTCAAGGTCATTGAGTTCTGCAAGGAAGGGGCTTTTGGTCCTGGGCTACATTAGAGGCTGCTGGATCAGGCTAATGGGGGGGCCTTCTAGACCAGCATCCTGTTCTCACAGGGACCAACCAGATGCCCATTGTGCAAAAGAGCAACTCTCCCCTCCTGGGGTTTCCAGGCAGAGCAATAGGCGTCCTGGCTGGTAGACATCCGTCGCCCTCTCCCATTCTGTTTCCAAAGGGCCAGCAGGGAAGGCAGGCAAAAGCCCTTCTTTGCTCTGAGATTGTGGAGAGCTGCTGCCAGTCAGAGAAGGGAGCGCTCATAGAATTGTAGGGTTGGGAGGGTCCCCCAACAGCCATCTGGTCCAGCCCCCTGCAATGCTCATCTAGGCAGACTCTGCGCAGGCCACCCTGAGGTCCGTGATGAGTAGCTCCGTTGGTGCGAGCGTGGTGCTGTTAACGCCAAGGTTGCAGGTTCGATCCTCGTAAGGGACAGCTGCATATTCCTGCATTGCAGGGGGTTGGACTAGATGACCCTCAGGGTCCCTTCCAGCTCTACAGGTCTACGATTCCATGGCATTTGTGTGCCCGCTGCTTCGAACGCATCCCCAACAGGTGTCTGTTCATCCGAAGGAGCAGCAGGCCGCCTCGCCCTCCCCCAGAGCCCAGCTTCTTTCTTTCTCTCTCATTTAGGAAAGATCTCCTCATGTTTAATTGAAGCCTCCCTCCCTGTGGCTCCAGGATTTCGTGTCCAGGCCGCACGACACAGGCCAACGCGCCTCAGCTGCTTCTGAGATCCTTCCCCATCTCTCCAGGCGTCAGCGAACATCTCCGTCGCTCCTCGCCTGACAAACGCGGTTCCTTGAAGCCTCTCCGCAGACGATTTGTCTCACTCAGCTTCACAGGCACCCGTCTCTTTCCCCCGCTTGCTGCCAGGAGCCGGGAGGAAGCCCCGACTTCCACAGGCAGGCTTGGCCCCCCCCACTCTTTAAAATATATATTTTACAAATCACCGTCATTATTCCACCTGTTCCAAGGAGCTTAGGAGTACGCGGTTCTCTCGCCCTTCCTGCTTTATCCCCACAACAGCCCTGCAAAGCAGTTCAGGTCGAGAGAAGGTGACTGTGACTGGCCCAAGGTCATAGAAGGGTAGGATTAGAAGGGACCCCTGCGGGTCATCTAGTCTAACCCCCTGCAATGCAGGAATTGTAACCGACAGCCTTGGCCTTTTCTGCTGCAGCCTCACCTGTCTGGCTCATTATTATTTATTACATTTATATACCGCGCTTCATCTGAGGACCACAGGGCAGTTTACTGTATCCTGCAAACGCTGTCCAACTGGGTGCTTGCCAGAAATCCTTGGTCCTCCCCAGAGGAGCTAAGGGCCTGGCACACTGCAGCCTCCATTTCTGAGCCCGCTTCCGTAATATTTTAGAGAGGAGGGCTTGTCCGCAGATCCATCCGGCCTCTTTTTCCGACTTGCACTCTGGCACGTGCTGGCTCTCCTTTCCCCACCCCCACCCCGGCCGCCCCCTCCTCCTCCCTGTTCTCTCCCAGTGCTGAACTGCCTTTTCAGGCGGGCCTGCCATCTCTGTGGCAGCCGCTTGCTTTGATCTCATGGTCTTCCCATCCAGCATATTAAAAGTTGCAATTAGCAGCATGTTCACGGATGAGCTTGCTCTGGCGGGAGGGAGAGGCTCCCCAGGAAAGCTGAAAGGTTATTCCAATAAGCGGCTACCCTTGCCGAGAGGAAGAACTTGCCAGGGGAGATGGGATGTAGGGGGATGTCTCCCATGTCCAAGGGGTGGGCCGGCTGGCCAGAAGGGTGCCAGCCCCAGGAGGAGGAGGAGGAGGAAGCTGTAATCCTTTTCTCTTGGGCATGGTGGGACCCTCTTGCAAGCAGACACACCAAGTATTGCATAGCATCTTCTTGGTCACTGTGAGACAGGATGCTGGGCAAGATGGACCACTGGCCTGATCCAGCAGGCTCTTACCTTGTGACTCAGTGGGCCAAGTGGAGGATAAGGTTGAGCAGAGACCCACAGGGGGCCCCATCCTTCACCCCACCCCTCCAGGAAATGATGTAGCTCAGGGGCAAAGAGACCTGCTTGGCCTTCAGAAGGTCCCAGGTTCCATCCCTGCTCGCTTCTCCAGGCAGGGCTGGGAATGCAGACTCTCCAAATGTCTCTATTTTCCAGGGACATCCCTGATTTAGAGAAGCCGTCCCAGTTTCTGATTTGATCCCAGAATGTCCCGCTTTTCCCTAGGATGTCTCTATTTTCATTGGAGAAATGTTGGAGGGTATGGAGTTATCCGCCCCCTCAGCCGTCTGAAGGCTATCCTGTATAGGGAAGTTTTTTTAATGCTTAATGTTTTATTATGTTTTTATATATGTTGGAAGCTGCCCAGAGTGGCTGGGGAAACGCAGTAAGATGTGTGGGGTATAAATAGTAAAATTATCATTATGGAATGGGACGTCCCTATTTTCACTGGAGAAATGTTGGAGGGTATGGGAATGTTGCCCATCTGACACCTTGAACATCTGTTGCTGCCAGACAGTGCTGACAATACTAAGCTAGATGGACCAACCGTCTGGTTTGGTATAGGACAGTTTTCTCTGCTCCTAGGAAACAGAATTCCTGGGTCCGACACAAACTTTCTGGCTTCCGAAATTTCACCATGCACTACCTCCCTGCATCCCAGTCATATGGACTAGCTGCTTTACAAACTCTGGCTGAACAGCAAAGCCCATGTGATAAGCTTGCAGAAATGCCAGCGAGTGGCAGAGAGGGCCTTCTTGGGGGTGGCTGCTCCCAGCTTTTGGCACTCCCTCTCTAGATAGACCCGACTGGCTTCCTCCTTGCTGTCCTTCCTCCGGCAGATGAAAAGTGCTGATTCCAGAAAGGGATTTGGGGAACTGGCTGTTTGTTTGTTTGTTTGTTTGTTTGTTTGTTTGTTTTTAAAAGGAAAGGTCTCTGAATAGTGTGCTCTTCTGCCTTTTGCATTTTATCTGCAGTTTCATAGACCTGTTTTTACACCAAATTGATGCTTTTATAGTTTCAATGGAACGTACAGAAGTTTTTAGTTTTCTGTGCATTACCTGTTTTTAATTTTTGTGAGCTGCCTTGCATCCCCAGTTCTGGAGGAAAGGTGGGGTATAGATTATGGAATTGTAGAATTGTAGTGTAAGAAGGGACCTGAAAGGGCCATTTAGTCCAACCCCCTGCAGTGCAGCAATTATAATAAACGATAATGAAAGGAGGGTGGGCTTGGGACGGGGACGTCCTGCAGCAGCAACAGCAGCAGCAGCAAGTGCTGCCCACTGGGCTTGCTGGCCAGCCTCCGCCTCCTGGCTGCCGTGGCTCTGGAGCGCCAGGCCAGCGAGCCCTCCTGGGTTCACGCCAGGCTTGTCACAAAGCGCCGGCTCTTCTGACGGTGTCTGGGCCTGATAAAAGGCCCTTGAAAGGGGCCGCACAAAGCCCAGCCACGCTTCAGAAGGGGAGACGTGGCCACAGATGCTGCCGGCAGGATAAATGCTATCAGGAGCCATCAGATGGCGAGTCGGCCCCCCTCCCCGCCCCCCACTTCCAAGGTTCAGCGCTGGCTGGCCCCTCCTCTCTCCCTGACAAGGCCTTTCAAAGGCTCCCGCAGCCACAGCACCTCTGGAGATGGAGGGGCACATGTCTCCTCCCTCCGCTTTTAATTAGCTGCGCCTGCCCTTTCTCTCTCTGCCAGGGCCAAACTCCCCTCCCTCCCTGCCCAGCTCGCTTTCCATCACTTCTTAATTTCCTGGAAACTTTTGCTAGATGGACTTGAAGCAGCAGCTGGGCAGCTGCCCAAGGAGAGCCAAGAGCCACAGGTTGGACCAGCCCCACAAGCAGAGGCTGGTCACTATGTGGGGGGGGCTGCTGTGTCCCCACCCCAAATAACAGGTTTAGGGCTGCCCGGTTTGCTTAGTTTTTACCACCCTGCACAGAGGGGCTGTTTGATATCCTGGGTCCCTTAAGCAGCACAGAGGTAAACTGTGGAACTCCCTCCCACTGGAGGCCACCCACCTGGATGGCTTTAAAAGAGGATTGGACAAATTCATGGAGAAGGAGGAGGAGGGGGCTACCAAGGGCTACTAGCCAGGATGAGCTATTGCTCTGCCTCCACAGTCAGAGGCAGGAAATTATTCTGAATCCCAGTTCCTGGAAACCCGGGGAGGGAAGGGGAGAGGGCTGGACTAGATGGGTCTCTGGCCTGATCCAGCAGCCTGTGCTTAAGTTCTCAGGGTATAGAGAGGGTTGCAGCATTGGCAAAAGATTCCTGGTTCATCCCCACCACTCCTACCCATGCTTTCTTCAAGTAGGGCTAAGGAAAATATCCTATCTGAAAAGCTCCGGAGAGGCGCTGCCAGCCAGGGTTGACTGTACTGAGCTACATGGGCCAATGGCCAGACTCCGTATGGCAGTTTCCAAGGTTCCCATTTAGAATCATAGAATTTTAAAGTTGGAAGGTACTCCCAAGGGTCATCCAGTCCAACCCCCTGCAATGCAGCAATCTCAACAAAAGCATCCATGACAGAGGGCCATCCAACCTCTGCTCAAAAACCTCCAGGGAAGGAGAGTCCACTATGTCTTGTGGGAAGCTGTTCCACTATCAAACAGCTCTTACTGTTGAGTCAGAATCTCTTTTCTTCGAGCTTGAAGCTAAGGATTTGAGTCCTACATTCCATAGCAGGAGAAAACAGGCTTGCTTCATCTTCACTGTGACAGCCCTTGAGATATTTGGCTATCCTATCTCCTTTCAGTCTCCTCTTTTCCAGGCTAAACATCCCCAGCTCCTTCAACCGTTCATCATCAGGCTTGGCTTCTAGACCCTTGACCATTTAAGCCAGCCCTTTGTGCAGAAGCAGGAGGACTGGAATCTTAACTTTATTTTTAAGGGAAGAGCCGTGGCTCAGTGGCACAGAGCACCTGCTTGGCATGCAGAAGGTGCCAGGTCCAATCCCTGACAGCATCTCTGGCTAGAGCTGGGGGAGATTTCCCTGTCTGAAATCCCAGAGAGTCATTGCTGCCCGTCAGTGTAGACAACAGGGGTGGGTGAGACCCCGCTGCCTGAAACCCTAGGTGGGCCAGCGCTCTAAGGCAGGCTCCTATGTTCCTGTTCAATTTAGCTTTTAGTCAAATGCATGAGGACTAGCACCTTGCTTTGTGTTTAGGGAGAGGTTTTAGCTCACTGGCAGAGCCTTTGCTTTGCATGCAGGGGCTCCCTGTTTCAGTCCCTAATAACATCTCCAGGTAACGTTGGGGGAAAGACCGAAACCTTGCAGAGGCGTTGCTGCCAGTCAGTGTGGACAAGACAGAGTTAGTGGTCTGACTCTGTATAAAGCAGCTTCTTATGCTCTGCACCAGCGGCGGCTGCTGCTGCTTCTGCTGTTGTTGTTGTTCCTAGAGAAGCCTCTTGAGGAGAGAAGGAAGGAGGAGGGAAGGAAATTTCTGCCCACAAATTGCTGCACTCCTAGGTGCCCAGAAGGCAACAGAGATCCTTTGAGACAGGAGATCCCCTGAGGCCAAGAGGCAGGTCTGAGCATCTTGCTCCTCCAAAGGGAGAGGTGCCTCCTGCCCCCCCCCCCACTTGCAAGACCCGTCTGGAAAAAAGCAGGAAGGGGAAGAGGCTCAGCCTATTTGAGTCCAGGCAAGGAGTCCTGGGCTGGAGTGTCCCCAGTGGCTCTGCTTTGAGGCTTCCAGCATGCAGGGAGATCCACCAGCTCTTCAGCAGGGAGTCATTCCCGTTATCCGACTGTTCCTGCAGTTCCGCCTGCATCAGAATGGCCACTGGCTGCAGCAGGATCAGGCCAAATAGGACACATACACCCCAGCCCAGCCTCCGGTTATCACAGTGGCCAAATGCCCCAAAGAATCTGGACCAGAGGTTTTTCTGGCTTGGAGCTGATGGGAGTTGTAGTCTGAAACACGGCTGTGCTCCCAAGGGCTGATGGGAGTTGTAGTCTGAAACACAGCTGTGCTCCCAAGGGCTGATGGGAGTTGTAGTCTAAAAATATGGCTGCTGGCTGGAGTAGAAGGGATTTGTAGTCCAAAAGATCAGAAAGGCACCAGTTTGGCAAAGGCTACCACATGCCACGTACCATCAGCCACCAAATCGTCTTGCATCAGGAATCAGTCCCAAGTTTCTCGGGGTGCGACTAAAGTGAGTTGCATTTCTGGCACTGGGTGGGAGTACAAGATCTGAGGCCTGTTTGTTCATTTATTGTTATTTTTATTTATCTCGAAAGATTTACCTCCCACATCTCTATTCAGAAAGCCTCCAAGGCAGTGTGCACATTTAATAAGAATGTAAAATGATTTTTTTTCTTTACAAAAATGTAATCCATAATACAGTTTCTTTAAAAATGACATACATAGCAAGTAAACAGAATAGGAAATGGAGCCCCCCCCCCCCGTTCTTGCCTGCTCAGAAGTCATCCCTGCTGGGTGCTTGGGGAGGCTTTGTTACTCCTGGGTAGATGCACCAGAAGTCAAGCAGTCAAATGCCGGGTTATTTTCAAAGCCTTAAGATTTTTTAAAAATAAAAAGCCATTGCTCAGAGCCCAAGAGCCATTCAGTTTCACTCCAGGGGCTCTTCCTGGTGGAGAGTATTCCCCAAACGGGGCTACACCCAAAAAGGCCCTGCCCTGCTCACCGCCAGCCGAGTATTTCTGCAGAGCAGAGAGATGACAGAGGAGACAAAGCCTCGATTGAGGGAGTTGGGGATGTTTAGCCTGGAGAAGAGGAGATTAAAGGTGACCACATCAAGTCTCCTCTCAGTATAGTGGTACCTTGGTTTTCGAACAGAATGCATTCTGGGAGGCTGTTTGAAAACCAAAGCGCGACTTCCTATTGGCCGCAGGAGCATCCTGCAGCCAATTGGAAGCCGCGCTGGACGTTTGGCTTCCGAAAAAGTTCAAAAACCGGAACACTCCCTTCCGGGTTTCGATCGCTTTGGAGCCGATTTGTTCAGGTGCCAAGGTGTTCGGCTTCCAAGGTACGACTGTACCTCAAGGTCTCTCACGTGGAAGAGGGAGCATGCTTGTTTTCCGCTGCTCCAGAGGGGAGGACCTGAACCAAAGGATTTAATCTTCAAGAAACTAAACATTAGGAAGAACTTTCTGATGGTTTGACAGCAGAACGGACTCCCTCGGGATGTGCTGGTCTCCTTTTCCTTAGAGGTTTTTAAGCAGAGGTTGGGTGGCCACCTGTCAGGGGTATTTTAGCCATGATTCCTGCATTGCAGGGGGCTGGGCTGGATTTCCCCTTCCCTTCCCTAAAAGAAACCAAGATTCCAGTCCTCTTGGTTCTGAATGGAGGCCAATTTGCAGCGGGTCTTGCCCTGACAGCCGGCCCATCTGGCTCAGTACCGTCCACACTAAAGGAGAAGGGCCTCTGCAGGGTTTCGGAAGGGAGCCTTTCTCTCAGCGTCCCTGGGGGCATTCTGCATGCCAAGCATGTGCTCCACCCACTGAGCTGCAGACCCTTTCAAAACAGCAGAGATGGGGAGAGGAGGCAAGAGGTGGGGCTGGGCAGGGCTTTTTTCTGTCAGATGTAGCAGGAGAGCAGAGCCCTCGGAGGCAGATGCTCTCCACCCGGGGGCCAAGGCAGACCGCTGCCCCCTGCTATGAAGGCCCACATCCTCTCGGCTGCAGCCTCTGTCGGGGTGGGAGCAGGAGCGAGCGGATGAACCTGCCGGAAGAGCCATTACTCTCCTTCCGTGCACATTCCCCAATGGCCGCTTTGGATCGGTGCTAATTTGTTTTTGAGGAGCAGGCATCTGCTGGCTCTCATAAGAGCGCCTGGCCTTGTGGGGGCTGGGTTCCCAGGCAGCTTGAGGGGGCAAAGGAGGCTACTGGCTGACCCTGCCCCACCTGCCCCCAGCCAGCCGTCAGGAAAGATGTGATGGGGGAGCCTCTGCTCCCAACCCCCCCCCAGCCCCGCATAGATGCCTGTAAGATGCTTCCTCTTGCTGGCAGCGCTGGGGGCGGCTGGCTCCTTGCATTAGCTCCCTTTCAATGTCAGAGGCGGTTAAGGCCCTGGGTGTTTCTGCCTGCCCATGCCAGTGGCAGCCTGTTGCTGGCCCTTCCGAGAGAGGGACAGCAGCTCAGCAGGGAAGGACGCCTGCTTTGCATGCAGAAGGTCCCAGATTCAACCCCCAATGGCATCTCCAGCAAGGGCTGGAGGAGACAATGTTGTGCCTGGAAATCTGGAGGGCTGCTGCCAGTCAGTGTGGACAGTACTAGGTGGGCCAAGGTTTTGGCAAGGTAGAACTTCTCGGTGTGTGCATTTTTATCAAAGGCTGCAGGCAACCCTACTGTCTGCGCACAAGCCATAGGTCTAAAGCACATGGTTTCTCCAAAGAACCCCGAGAACCAGAGTTTGTTATGGGGGCTGCTGCTCTGAGAGGGGTAAATGATAGGGGCATGGACATCCTGTGAAGCTGACATCCCTGTTCAGGGAAGTTTTTAATGTGTGACATTTTAATGTATTTTTAATCTTTGTTGGAAGCCTCCCAGAGTGGCTGGAGAAACCCAGCCAGATGGGGGGGGTACAAATAATAAATTTATTAGTAGTAGTAGTAGTAGTAGTACTGGAAGATTCAGGAGAGATAAAAGGAAGGACGTATTAATGCAGCACAGTGTTAAACTATGGAACTCCCTCCCACAGGAGGCAGGGATGGCCACTAAAGTGGATGGCTTTGAAAGAGGCTTAGATGAATTTATGGAGGGGGGGGGCTATTGATAACTCTGCTCTGCCTCCACAGTTGGATCTGAATCCCAGTTGCTGGAAACCACATGAGGGCAGAGATGCTCTTGTGCTCAGATCTTGCTTGGAGGTTTCCCACTGGGGCATCTGGTTTCATAGAGTTGGAAGGGACCTTGAGGGTCATCCAGTCCAACCCCCTGCAGTGCAGGAAAATGCAGCTGTCCCTTATGGGGATTAAACCCGCACCTTTGGCGTTGTCAGCATCCCGCTCTAACCAACTGCTCTATCCGCCGCTGTGAGACTAGGATGCTGGACCAGATGGGCCCCTGGCCTCATCCCGCAGGCTCGCCTTATATTCTTATGAAGCTGCATGCTTGCCTTAAATGCCCCACAGTCCTTCCACGTGCAGAGCAGGACTGGGCTACCTGTCGCCGACCTTTCCGACAGTCGCAAAGGTCCCAGGCCGGCCGGCAGGAGGCCAGGGTGGGCCAGGAGCTGCGGGAATGGAGTCGAGGCTCCTCCTCTGACTCGCCCGGTGTCCCCTTCCTGGCGCCCCGATGTCCCCGAGCGGAGCAAGGAGGGAGATGGTCTCCTGCGGAAGCGCCTTTCCTTGGTAACTTCATCCTTGAGATTGAAAGCATGCGGTTGGCGGGGGGGGGGGGGGCTGGTGGCGAGGAAAGAAAGCCCTGGGAAGAAATCGCCCCAGCCAACTGACCCGCCCTCCCATTCCCCCCCCCCAGGAAGGCCAAGCCCGGAGTGGAGGCTAATCCGTCCACCGGCGTTCATTTGTCTGGGTCCAAGGAAGGGCCCCGAGGGGAAGTCCTGGGCCAGGCGAGAGGAAGCTTGAGTTTCAGCCTGCGCTATTGATTTTCCCCATTATTACAGTATGGGATTTATGGCTGGCTTTAAAACTGCAATAAGTGGCAAGCTGAAGCGGGCGGGGGCGGGAGGAGCCTCAGGACGACCTTGGGAAGACGGCGCCCTCTCCCTGTCCTTCTCCCCGCACCAGCTCTCCTTGCTTCCTCCCAGCGGGGTGGAACGCAGGATGAGGCCCCCGCCCGCTCCAGATCCGTCGCCACTGGCAAGGGGGAGCTTTGGCATTCGGCAAGAGAGAGGGTCCCGTTCTTCACGCGCCCAGAGTCCTGAGGCAGCCCGGAGCGCGTCTGTGGGGCGTCTGTGGCTGCCAACGAGAATGGCCCCGTTCTCCATCGGTGGAGGCAGTAAGGTCCTGCTTGCCGGTTTTTCGTTTTGGGCATCTGGCTGGCCACTGGAAGAGCAGGATCCTGAGCTAGATGGGCCACTGGCCTGATCCTGCAGGCTCTTCTGAGGGTCTTATGTCTGTCTCCTGGTCTTGCTCAAAGCACTGCCTGCCTGGAGCTGGGCTGCTGTGGCATGTTGTTGTTTAGTTGTTTAGTCCTGTCCGACTCTTCGTGACCCCATAGACCAGAGCACGCCAGGCACTCCTGTCTTCCACTGCCTCCTTCGAGAACACTGTCCAACCATCTCGTCCTCTGTCGTCCCCTTCTCCTTGTGCCCTCCATCTTTCCCAACATCAGGGTCTTTTCCAGGGAGTCTTCTCTTCTCATGAGGTGGCCAAAGTCTTGGAGCCTCAGCTTCAGGATCTGTCCTTCCAGTGAGCACTCAGGGCTGATTTCCTTCAGAATGTCAGAATGGAGAGGTTTGATCTTCTTGCAGTCCATGGGACTCTCAAGACTCTCCTCCAGCCCCAGAATTCAAAAGCATCCATTCTTCGGCGATCAGCCTTCTTGATGGTCCAGCTCTCACTTCCATACATCACTACTGGGAAAACCATAGCTTTAACTATACGGACTTTTGTCGGCAAGGTGATGTCTCTGCTTTTTAAGATGCTGACATATGTGGCATAGCGGCTTATTATTATTTAATTATTATTTATACCCCGCCCATCTGGCTGAGTTTCCCCAGCTTATAGACCTCAAGCCAGGAAGGGTCCCACGTTCAAACCTTGCCGCCCAACACCAAATCACAAAACAGCCACATGCCCAGCCTCAGCACCCCCTGTCTGTGCTATTGAAGGTGGGGGGGGGGGCTAATCCTGGCAGCCTAAGAATTGCTTTCCACCTTGACTGCCTTCCTCTGAAGCAACACACCCTCCGGAAAGTGCAGCGCCCATAACTGGGCAGGGATGTTGCAGGTGTGCGAATGGCGCTTGGGTGCCTCAAGATTCGGGAGCATGTCTCAATCTCTTCTTAATATAATTATTTATTTAATAAAACGTACACACTGCGTGATTATTAAAAAACAAAAACAAAAACAACCTCAAAGCTAATTACCAAAAAGATTTTAAAAAACAAAATTACCAGTAAAAAGAATTAACCACAATAATTTCAGACCTTTGAAAAGTTTACCATAGACAAAAGAACAGATCAAAACTCGCATCAGCTTTCCGGACAGGCTTGTCTAAACAAAAGTTGTTTTTTAAGGAGGCGCCAAAAAGAGTGCAGAAAGGCACCTTATTATTCACTTCATGTTTATGCCACTTTATATTTTTAAGGAAAAAAATCTCAAAGCGGTTTACAACGCATTAAAACATCCAAGTATACATTCAAGGCAACATAATTAACAGGAAACTAAAATATCATCTTAAAGATTTCAAAATAAAATGTTGCAAAGGAGGTCAACTACAGAATGCACATTTAACACAGCTAAGTTAACAAAAAAAAATTCAAATGAAAACATTACCAAAGGAAGTCAAGTATAAAATGTGCATTTAAAGCAGCATACTTAGCAAGAGAATGAAATATTCTCAATCAGCAGGAAGTTCCATAGCGTAGGGGCTGCCACACTAATTGATCAAGTTCTTACAAATGTGGAAGAGGCGTCTTGTGGCTTCTGCCAGTCAAAGTGGCCAAATGGTCACGTGTGGGACAAAGCGATCCTGCAAGCAAGCTGGTCCCAAGTTGTTAAGAGCTTTGTATACTAATAGGAACTCCTTGGACTTGACCTGGTAGCGAATCCGCAACCAGTGAGGATCTCTGAGCACAGGTGCTGATAAGGCCTCATCCTGTCTGCTCTCGTGCTGCACATCCACACCAACGGCAGCCCCCGGATCAACCTCTGACTTTTGCGCGTCCAGAACGTGGCCTCCGGTACAAAGGTTAAGGGTCACCTCCATGGCTGCTCCCTCCCTTGTCTCTGGCATGGTGCCCCTCCGACCCATTTTCCATACTGGGGAAGGTGGGGAGGGGGAAAAGGTGGTCCCTGCCCTCACAGGCAAACCCAGAACAGCCTTTCTCCTGGAAAGGGAATCCCTGGATTCCAAGGCTATTCAGACTCAGTTGGGCAAAAGGGGGGTTCCCCCCCCACCCCCATTAAATAGTCCTGATGTTTCCCCCGGGACAAACAAGGCAAGTAGGTTGGTGGCCCCAGAGCCCACCCCTTCTGCCTTTAAGGTCATAATTGCCATTAAAGCCACAGCTTGCCTAACCAAATTATGCAAAGACAAAATTATCTCCCGTGATTTTTATGTTCCAGAAACTGCCGGGGCGATTACTGGGGGATTGGAAGCAGCTGTCACTCTATCAGAAACTATAATTCCAAACAGCTGGGATCTGTCAGTTATTTATGACGCCGCTTTGCGAGGCAAGAGGGAAGGAGGGAGGAGGGCGCATAGGCTCCACATCTTCAGGCCACACGGAGACCCCGGACTCTGGCAGGCAGATTCCAGGCAGTGGGGGGGGGGAGGTCCTCCTTCCCCAATCAGGCAGCAGGAGCAGCTTGGGGCCAATGCAGAGATACCCCTACTAGGATCCCCCAAACAGAAGGCTGGCAGCATTAGGGAAACAGGTGAGTAAGAAGCACGCAGAATGCGGACGGAGGAGAGTTTCTCTCCTCTCGTAACACTAGAACAACGGGGCATCCAATGAAACTGCATGTGGGAAGATTCAGGAGAGACCAAAGGAAGGACTTGTTCACATGGGGCAGTGTTCATCTGTGGAACTCACACCTGCAGGAAGTAGTGATAGCCGCCAACCTAGATGGCTTTAAAAGAGGTTGGGACATGACACCAAACTCTACATACATTAAACATAATAGAAACACCGCCACCCGACCCCACCCCCATCCATCTTCCCTCTCTCCACCCCCCTTTTCTTTTTTCTTTTTTTTTCTTCTCCCCCTAATGCCTCAACAAATGAAACGGATTTGTAAAAATGTTACATGAAAAAAAAAATACGAGGCACTACACTTCTGTAAAACAAGAAAATCCTTAATAAAATATTTTTTTTAAAAAAAAAGAGGTTGGGACAAATTTGTGGAGGAGGATAGCACTATCTGTGGCTGCTACCCATGAGGGCTCTGCTCTGCCGCCACCACAGGAGGAGAGAATAATAATAATAATAATAATAATAATAATAATAAATAATAATAATAATAATAATAATAAATTTATTATTTCTACCCCGCCCGTCTGGCTGGGTTTCCCCAGCCACTCTGGGCGGCTTCCAACAAAAGATTAAAAATACATTAAAACATCGGTCATTAAAAACTTCCCTAAACAGGGCTGCTTTCAGATGTCTTCTAAACATCAGATACCGTATTTTTTGCTCTTTAAGACTCACTTTTTCCCTCCTAAAAAGTAAGGGGAAATGTGTGTGCGTCTTATGGAGCGAATGCAGGCTGCGCAGCTATCCCAGAAGCCAGAACAGCAAGAGGGATTGCTGCTTTCACTGCGCAGCGATCCCTCTTGCTGTTCTGGCTTCTGAGATTCAGAATTTTTTCCCCCTTGTTTTCCTCCTCCAAAAACTAGGTGCGTCTTGTGGTCTGATGCGTCTTATAGAGTGAAAAATATGGTAGTTGTTTACTTCTTTGATATCTGAGGGGAGGGTGTTCCACAGGGCGGGCGCCACCACCAAGAAGGCCCTCTGCCTGGTTCCCTGTAACCTCGCTTCTCGCAGGGAGGGAACCGCCAGAAGGCCCTCAGAGCTGGACCTCAGCATCCGGGATGGATGATGGGGGTGGAGACGCTCCTTCTGGTCTTCAGGCCGAGACTCTTTAGGGCCTTAAAGATCAGCACCAACACTTTGAAATGTGCTCAGAAACGTACTGGGAGCCAATGTAGGTCTTTCAAGACTGGTGTTATGTGGTCTCGGCGGCCGCTCCCAGTCCCCAGTCTAGCTGTCGCATTCTGGGTTAGTTGTAGTTTCTGGGTCACCTTCAAAGGTAGCCCCACGCAGAGCGCGTTGCAGTAGTCCAAGTGGGAGATAACCAGTGCATGCACCACTCCGGCGAGACAGTCTGCGGACAAGGAGGGTCTTGTGCTCACGTCTTGCTTGCAGGTTTCCCAAAATGTGCACCTGGTTGGCCGCTGTGAGAGCAGCCGGCTGGGCTGGATGAGCCCCTTTGGCCTGATCCAGCAGGCTCTTCTTCGGTTCTTCCCAGACCACCCATCCATCAGCTGAAATCTGTACAGATTTCACCTTGAGAGAACGTAAGAATTGTCCCGCATCTCGATCAGAGCCAAGTGGCCGGTCTGGTCCCGGCTCCTGCTCCCACGGGGGCCCCAAAGGGAAGCCCACAAGCTGGCAGGGCCTGGGCGCAACACTCTCCCCTCCTGCGGATCCCAGCAACGGGTATTCAGAGGCCTCCAGCCGACCTCCCCTTTGCCGCCGCCGGAGAGAGATTCCCTCCTGGGACTAAGGGGAGGTAGAAGGCTTCTTTCGTGAAAACGTGGGCTGCCAGCAGCTCTTAGAACCACTTGTACGAAAAACAGGATGTGTGTGTGAGTTTGTGGTGATATATTCACAGAGAGACTGACTAATCAGGGACATTTATTTATTTATTTATTCATTAATTCATTCATTTATTTTTGATTGATTGATTGATTGATTGATTGCATCTGCATCCCACCTTTCCCCCCAAGGAGCTCCAGGCGGTGTGTGTGGCTCTCCCCTTTCCCACAACAACCCTGTGAGGTAGGTTAGGCTGAGAGAGGCAGGGGCTGGCCCAATCTCACAACCTAGGAGCTCCATGGCCGAGTGGGGATTAATTGACGGGAAGGGTTTTCCCAAAGCCAATTAAACCTGATTGATTAATTGAGTCGACACCGCAGGCCCACTTACTCTGACTCCTCCCGCTAAGGAAAACGAGGGTGCCGATGGGGAGAGAGCGATGCTGAGCTTATGTCCCACCCAGGCAGGTCTGGGGAAGACCCCAGCCGTAGACCCTGCAGAGAGGTGGGGCAGGGGGGAAGCATTGCTGCCAGCCAGTGCTGACAACACTGAGCTCAATGATGCCTACTAAGGCAGCTTTTGGAGTCTGTCCTGGGGCAGAGAGGCCCACCTGGCTGACTGGAGGCTGCACTAGCCCCCCAGCTGCCCCATAGGCGCCTTTGCCACTCTCTCTCAACCCCCCTGTTGTGCTGGAGCACTGCCCAGCCCAAAGTGGCCAGGAGAGGCAAACTCTCTGCTGAGCTGTAAACAAGGCAGAGGCGGTTGCTGCTGCTGCTGCTGCCTGGCCTCTGCAGGGACAGCCCCATGGAGACCATCCCTAGAGCTGGGCCAGGTGCTTTTGAGGAGGGAGGGAGAAGCTGCATCTCCAAGGCCTGTGCCCAGCATCTCGCACGGGGAGAGCATAATCAGAAGAGGCTGTTGGATCAGGCCAAAGGGCCTCTGTCCAGTCCAGCCTCCTGTTCTCACAGTAGCCTCAACAGGAAGTCCACAAGCAGGACTTGAGGACAACAGCATTCTCCCATTACCTGCCATCTGGAGGTAGACTGTTCCTGGGCATGGAGGTTCTGCTATCACAGTAGACCTGCTGCATCAGCCCAGTGGCTTGTCTAGTCCAGCGTCCTGTCCTCACAGTGGCCAACCAGGTGCCCACTGTGGTTTCCAGCAACTCAACTGGTATTCAGAACCAGTGGCTGCCCCTGTGAGGGGAAGGTAGCACCAGCCCTGTGATGCGGACCAGGCCCCCCTATCTGCCACCAAGGTGGGCTTTCCTCCTCCTCCTCAGGTGGCTCATGAACTGCCCTGGCATGCTGCGGCTGGTTAAGGAGAAGGAGACCCCATTCCCTGCGCATGCATGCACAGATATGCACCCTACATCTGGGACGGCTGCTTTGGCCCATCTGCAGTTCTCCCAGATGTGCCTTCCCAGGGCCCTGAAAAGGAACCTTATGCTTCTGCAATTGTTCCTCCCGGCCAGGCTGACACCCAGGAAGGAGGGAGAGTGAGGGAAGGAAGGGGGTCCTTCCCCCCCCACTGAGCACGTCCCTCTAGTAGAGTCTCCTAACGAGGGAGAGTCCTAACGAGGGAGGCGGCGCTCCTGGCTGTCCAGAGTCGGAGATAAATTATTTCAAGCATCCATTAAGCAATGCCTAATTAGTGCCCAATTAGAAGAGTCACGTGGGGTGCAATTCGGACAGGCTTGGGAGGCAGACCTGAGTGAGGAGGGGAAGCCGGGTGGGGGGGGGAGGGAGAGCAGGGTGCTGGGGGGAGGCACTGCTCTCCGGGGGGCAGGAAAAAAGGAGAGAGGATTTGTGCCTGGGGAGGAGGGGCAGCGGCAACACTGGCTCAAACCCCACAGAACCCAGAGACTGGCAGGGCAGCGTGGCATTTCTAGAATCTGCAGCCCTGTGCATGTGTTCCTGGGAGGGAGGAGAGGCGGAGAAGAATCCAGCCCCTGCTTGGCATGCAGAAGGCCCCAGTGCCAATCCCCCCAGGCGCCTCCCGTTTAAAAGGGTCAGGAGGCAGGTGAAAAGGCTCTCCTCCTCTGCCTAAGATTCTGGAGAACTGATGGGGAGACAAAGACAGCTCTCTGCATCTTAAGGGCCCCAGCCCAGTAGCCGAGAACACGTGCTTCACATGCAGAAGGTGCCAGGCCCAAACCCCAGCAGCTTCCTGTTTCCCTCCTGAAAGCAGCCCCTTCATTCAGAACCACAAGTCCCAAACCCTAGTTTTAGGGAAAGAGCCCTAAACCAGTGCCAGAACAGCTGCCTGGCATGCAGAATGTGTCCCAGGCCACGAGGGCAGCCTCTACTGGCAGGTGGTAGGCAAGGCCTCTTCCTCTTTACTGGAGCCCCTGCCAGCCAGAGGAGACAACACTGGCCTAGCTGAACAAGCAGTTTGACGTGCTATGAGGCGGGCAAGGACCACTGCTCAGTTCCAAGAGCAGCTGCTTGGCATGCAGAAGGTCCCCTGGTTCAATTGCTGGCATCTCCAGGTCGGGCTGGGGAAGATGCTGCCAGTCAGCGCAGGCATTCCTGAGCCAGAGGGACTGTTGAGACAGTTTTGCTGGTTCAAGACCAATTTCACCCTGTGTCTCAGTCTCCTCCTCTGCAGTTGCTTGTCTTAGGTGCCAGAGATTCTGCAGGGACAGAGGCTGCTGCTCATTGCCAGGATACCTGGTCCCCCAGAGTCCTCCTCCGATGGCCAACTCTCAATTATCACCAAGCGCAGAGAAACAAGGAAGGAAGGAGGAGTTGGCGTCTCAAAGATCTCAGCTTGCTTACCTGCTTTAAAAAAAAAAAAACATTTCAAGGTGGCAATCTTCTAGCCCTCATGGTGGCAGGGAAAACAAAAGTACAGGGAAGCCAGGAGAAGGAGAAGGAGGCTTGTTTCTGGCCACAGAAGAATAAATTATGTAAAATGATAAGCACATCAATGCGCATCGCGGCGGCCTACTTTGCATAACTTGCTCTGGATTTTCGGCTTCTCCTTGGCAGGGAATGTGGGCTTTTTAAAAGCGCGGCTTCGCTGTCTGTGCAGCCCTGGGCTGCGGGGGGAGGCAGAGGCGGAGGGAACCGTGCAGGGATCCTGGGTGCAGAAGGAAGACACACACACCCAGCCGGAGGAGAGGAAGAGGCCTGTGTCTTCGGAGGGGGGGGCAGGCGAGGCGGTGTGTGCGCCTGACTTGCCTCCCAAGATTGCGTTTCAGATCCACGCAGAGCAGGCCTGAAGGGATGGGAGGAGGCGCTCTCACACCACCGAGTGCATCGCTTTCTGTGCCTGCTTGCACCAGAGCCGGGAATGCCTGATGAGGAAGGACAAGCTCCCTGCCTGCCTCTGCTCTCTGGGCTCCAGGCGGAACTGGGGTGGTGGAAAAGGAGGGCCTGCCCTCCTCCCTGGGAGGGAAACTGAGGCCTGGGACGGGCACTAGCTCCCTGGAGAACAGGAAGAAGCTGGCATGCTTTGCAAGGGTGCTGTTGGCCACTGCAAGCACGTATCTTCCTGAAAGACTGTGCGGTGTAGTGGTTAGTGTCAGATGAGGGCCTGCCTCTCAGCCTGACCTACCTCTCAGGGTTGTTGCGGGATTGAATGAGGAGGGAGAGAACCCCTCTTGTGCTTTCGGTAAGAAGAGGCTGCTGGGTTAGTCCCATGGCCCATCGGGTCCAGGCTCCTGTTCTCACAGTGGCCAACCAGATGTCCATTATGAGAAACCCCCAATCAGGATTCGAACTCTCCCCTCCTGTGGCCACGGGCATTCAGAAGGGCCGCTGCCTCTAACTTCTGCAGGCAGCGTGGAGCCATCAGGGCAAGGAACCATCAGTCGCCCTGCTCTCCCTCACGAATGCGTCCAATATCCTTTGAAAGGGTTGATTACAAGCTACAAGAATTGGTTGAAATGGTGCAGTTAACAAATACCCTGAAAGACAATTCAAAACAAAAAATTATGGGAAAGTGGGATAGATATAAAACATATGTTCAAAAATACAGTAAAGGTTTGCTATCTATGCTATCATTTGATTGACGTTGGAGTGAAACTGAGTTGAGAAATAAGACTAAGAGCACATATTGATATAGGAATGTATTAGATAATATGTAAAGAAATATACAATAATAAGAGTACATTCCTTTGTAAAAAAGGAATATACAACAGGAAAGACAGGAAGTCTAGTGTGTTGGTATGTATATGATTTGGGGCGGATTTGTTTTCGTTTTTTCTCTTTGTTCTTTCTTTTTTGTTTCATTTTCTTTCTAGGTATATAAAATTTGTATATAATTTTTGTATACATGTTGGAAATTACAGTATATTATAGTAAGTCCTGTAATGTAATATGACAACGTTTACCGATGTAACGTAATAATGTTAACAAATAAATAAAATGCAAATTCAAAAAGATAAAAATAAATAAAGACATTTGGGTCGGTGGGCATCACTGCCTGCTGTGGGATGGAGTTCCACAGTTTAACTCTGTGCTGAGAGTTATGGAAAAGTCCAGGGCATCCCCCCCCCACCCCCACCCCTCTCTCTCTCTCTCTCACACACACACACACACACAGACTTTTCAGCCTCTCAGGGACTCCCCTCAGCAGCAGCCCCAGAAAGTTTTCTGGGAGGCTTCACCTGGCTGTCTTAAGTAGATATATATATATATATATATATATATATATATATACACGCGCACCACAAAATTTAAAAAGCCCAAATGGCAATTAGGAGTGCACTGGAGCATCTTGAGCAGTCGGATGCTATGGCAACCCTGGTGCCACTTGGCAAAGGGCAGGGCATTAATATTTCAGAGCATAAATAATGAATGGCGGCAGGAGGGGGGTTGCTCTGGCCTTGATCCCGTTTCTCCGGCAATATTCGGGAATGCAATGCCCAAGAGGCCACTTGGAAAGAGGAGCTGTGGCTCGTGGGCACCCGTGGCAGGAGCCGGGGGAGCCTGCCAGGCTGCTGGGGGGCTGGGCAGGCTGGCCACGGGGCAGGGGGTGCCACAGAAGGGGAGGGGGCTGGGCACGAAGCCAGGCTGGCAGGGGTGCTTCTTGCGGGGTGCCAGCCCTGCCACTCAGCCCAAACATGTAAATTAACACCAGAACTTCCCTCCAGGATCAGGCCCGTGGCCCATCTAGTCCAGCATCCTGTTCTCACAGAGGCCAAGCAAATACCCGAAAGCAGGATTTGAGCCTGAGAGCAAGTCTTGGCCCTGCTGGGGTTTCCAGGAACTGGAACGCAGAAGCACAGTTGCCTCTGACCATGGAGAAAGACCATAGCTATCCTGGCCAGGAGCCCTCCACAAAGACTTCTCCTCCTCCATGGATTTGTCTGATCCTCTTTTAAAGCCATCTCTATTGGTGACCATCCCTGCCTACTGTGGGAGGGAGTTCCACAGTTACACTGTGTGAAGGAGGACTTCCTTCCACATGTCCTGAGTCTTCAGCTTCACTGCATGTCCACAACTTCCGGTGGTATGAATGAACCCCCCAAAACTGCCATTTACCCATCGCAGATCTACAACTCCCAGCACCCATAACAAACTGCAGTTCCCAGGATTGCGGGGGGGGGGGAGCGGGAGCCATGTGCTTTCAATTGTATTGTTTCCATGCAGACAGAAGAGTTTTGCAGGGCTGCAGGCTTAGTCAAGCAAACACATACAGAGAAAGGCCTGCCTTGCCAAAACCTTGGCCCACTTAGTATTGCCCACACTGACTGGCAGCAGCTTTCCAGATTTTCAGGCACAAGTTTGCCTCTCCCAGCACACACACACCCCCGGAGATGCTGTTAGGGGGTTGAATCTGGGACCTTCTGCATGCCAAGCAGGGGCTCTGGCCCTTTTGTAGCTCAGTGGGGCACAGCCCATGGCCAGAGCTGACCCTAGAGGTTGTCCTTCTCTGCCTGGATATGCGCTGCAAGCAGGTTGGGCCTTGGAAGATGGTGGACTCTCCTTCCTTGGTGGTTGGATGGCCCTCTGTCATGGATGCTGAGATTCCTGCATTGCAGGGGTTGGGCTAGATGACCCTTAGGTTCCCTCCCGACTGCAGTTCTGTGTCTCTGATTGCAGAGTCCACCCTGTTGATGTCTCTCCTCCTCTCTCTCCTCTTGCAGGGAGCTGCCTGGAGCTCTCCCTGCTGCTTCTGCTGGCTCTGGAGCTCCCCTCTTCGGGCGGCTGCCCCACGGACTGCGTCTGCTACCCGTCCCCCATGACCGTCAGCTGCCAGTCCCACAACTTCCTCGCCATCCCGGAGGGCATCCCAGAGGACAGCGAGAGGGTCTTCCTGCAGAACAACCAGATCTCCCTGCTGCTGCGTGGCCACTTCAGCCCCTCGCTGGTCACCCTCTGGCTCTACTCCAACAACGTCACCTTCGTGGACCCCAACGCCTTCCGCGGCTTCTCCCACCTGGAGGAGCTGGACCTGGGAGACAACCCCAGCCTGCAGGAGCTGTCGGCCAAGACCTTCCAGGGCCTCAGCCGCCTGCACGCCCTGCACCTCTACAAGTGCGGCCTCAGCTCCCTGCCCAGCGGCATCTTCTCCGGCCTCCACAACCTGCAGTACCTCTACCTGCAGGACAACCGGCTGGGCTACCTGCACGATGACCTCTTCGTCGACCTCGTCAACCTCAGCCACCTCTTCCTGCACGGCAACCAGCTCTGGAGCCTCCACCAGAACACCTTCCGGGGGCTGGTCAACCTGGACCGGCTGCTCCTCCACCAGAACCAGCTGCAGAGCATCCACCGGGGAGCCTTCCACGACCTGCGGCGACTCACCTTGCTCTTCCTCTTCAACAACAGCCTCTCCGAACTGCCGGGCGAGGCCCTGGCCCACCTGGAGGCCTTGGAGTACCTGCGCCTCAACAGCAACCCCTGGCACTGCGGCTGCCGGGCCCAGTCGCTCTGGGAGTGGCTGCGCCGCTTCCGGGGCTCCAGCTCCAGCGCCGTCTGCGAGTTCCCGGAGAAGCTGCGCGGCCTGGACTTGAAGGAGCTGACGGCGGACAGCTTCCGGGGCTGCGCGGCCTCCGAGTCGCTGCACCACCAGGTGAACGGGGTGCGCTTCCCGCCGTCGGCCGACAGGGCGCCCCCCGGAGACCACCCGCCGCTCCACTCCTCCACGGAGAAGGGCAAAGGGCGGCCAGGGGAGCAGCGCCCGGGGCAGCAGCAGCGCCCCGGCTACCGGAAGCCCGGCAAGAACTGCACCAAGAGCCGTAATCGCACCACCAAGCCGGCCGGGCCCTGGAAGGAGAGCGAGGGGGCGGACTACGAGCACAAGTCCCCCGGCCTGGGCCTGCTGCCCAAGCCGAAGGGGAAGTGCCATCGGACATCTCTGCAGCCCCCCAGCGGGGTCCAGCAGGCAGCAGCAGGGGGCGGGGTGCGCGGGGTTGGGGCCAGGGCTGCGGGGGCCCTGCAGGCTGCCCTGCTGGCGGGGGTGCTGGCCTTGGCGGTGATCGTCCGCTGACCACGGAGGAGCCACGCTGAGCCGCCACTGGTCTCCGGAGCCCCAGCGCTGTGACTCCTCCTCCTCCCCCTTTTTTCTGCCTGGGGGTTTGGCAGCAGCAAGGTAGGCCCCTTCCCGGGCCTTCTCCAGTGTCCCCCGCCCATGGCCGGCAAGGGGGGATTGTAGGCGCGGACCGTGCAGGGCGGGCGAGCAGGCAGGCAGGCACTTCCTTCGCGCCCGCAGGATGGAATTACAAGCAATATCCCACACGCTTGCCACCGATGGCCCCGACAGAGCACCCACGGGAAGGAACTCCCCATCCCCGCCCCACCCTCCTCTCCTGAACCCAGGGCCCGGGAGCGAATCCTCAGTTAGCAACTACTGGACAACTGCTTTGCTCCCTGAGAAATCCTGCTGAATTGAGAGAAAGAGGGAGGCGCATATACCCCACCCTGCCAGGATTACAAAAAAAGGAGTCACCGCCGCCGCCGCCCCTGTCAGGACCGCACCAACTAAGCCGATGTGATCCCTGCATTGCAATGGGTCGGACTAGATGACCCTTGGTATCCCTTCCAACTCTGCAGCTCTGTGATTCTGGGACAGAGGGCTAGCCTGGGCCATGGGGCACCCCACCCCACACTGCCTGCAAGGCCCCCTTTCCACTCCCCTTCTGCTCCAGGCCAAAGCAGGCAGGGAGCTTTTTGGAGGACAGATATCCAAGTTGCTGGATGGCTCAGGATCCTTCCCCTCCTGGGCAGGGCTGGGCAGCCACCAACAAGACCAAAGGAAAGGCCAGCCAGCAGCCGAGAGGTGGGAACTCTGAACAAACTTTCCAAGCAAAGGTGCAATTCTCTTCCCCGCCCTTTTCTTTTTTGTAATGTCTGTGTTCACATATAAAATTTAAAAAAACCCAATGCACAAGTTTTCCCTCGGCCTTCAAGCTCCCTCAAGATTCATGTCCCATGATGATGCTTATAAACTGAATTGAGGAGACTGCGCACAGGAGAGAAGGAACCAGGACCGATCCCACCCCGACCTGTGGAACTGAGGACTATGGCTGGGTCTGCAGGCAGGAGGGCTTTGGGTGGGCAGCTGGGAGAGACACCTCCCCGGAGTGGACAAGGCTTGGGGGGAGAGGGATGGGGGGAGAGTTGGGGTGAGGGCAAGGGGGGGCCCACCAGGGACCAATTTACGTAGAAACGTAGCACACCAGGAATTGTAGTTTTGTGGATCTGTATGCAATATGAAAGGGAGAGAGAGAGAGAGAGAGAGAGAGAGAGAGAGAGAGAGAGATGGGAGCCAGGAACATCCCCAATGCTTGCAAGTGAAGTGCTCCAATTGCCAGGGAGGGAGGGGGTCTAGTTTTGGGTGGGTGTGTCCAGAATCAGTCAGTATAGCCCACCCCCCAGGAGGTGGGGAGGGGGAAAGGAGGGGGAGGACTGCAGCATGTCCTCAACAGTGTTAGCCCCAGGTCCAAGGGTCTTGCTGGCATCCTTGGGGAGGACCCTCCTGGCAGCTGTTAGGGAAGGGGCCGGGATCTGGGGCAGGGAGGCAAGGCAGAGAACAAACACCACGTTTGGGACCATTTGCCCATGGCTTTTTTTAAAGAGTAAAATGAAAACAGCCATTTTTTTAGGGGATAAGGCAGGGTCAGGGGATGGCCAAGCAGTGCTTGAGCGACAGAGAGGTCGGAGTGGGGGTGGGGTAGGGGTCCTGCCTCTTAACCCTTTTGGCTGCCACCCTCTCTCTTCCTCCCTCCCTCCCTGGCTCCTGTTCTTAGCAGCCTAGCAGGCAGGGCACCCAGGCCTTGTTGGGAAGGGTGGCCAGGGAGGGGGGTGGGAGCTGATTTGTGCCCCTTCCCCTTTCCAGCTGTGATCCCACCGTGCACGGGGCCCACAAGGGTCCCCCTACCCGAGCCCCCGGCCAGGATCGTGGCCACGTTCTGTTGTTTCAAGTGGGGCCACTACCGGGGAGGCCCTGCCCTGGCTGTGCAGGGAGGGGGGAATAAAGGAAACCGTCTGAAAACCAGCTGCTGTGGCCTCTTTCTCTCACTCTTTCCTTCCCCAGGAGTTGCGCATGCTCTCTAGCATGTACATCATGAGCTGTGTCAGGCAAGGATGCGCCGCATCACCAGCCCCGCCTCCCCAACAAGGAGGAGATGTTCCCACAAGGGCCAGGCTTCTCAGGAGAGGTGGCTGAGCCCCCTGGAAGAACCTGTTTAGGGTTTCTCAAAGTCCAGGAACATAGGAATGCGCCTCGTGAGAGTCAGACCATTGGTCCTGCTTGCTCACTGCTGTGAGTGGGAGAGAGCTTCTGCCCCCTGCAGGGTTTGATCTGTGGGTTAGCGGCCAGGGAGTGGGGGCAGGGGACACCAGGGCAGCGAGAGGGCACATAACGAAAATTCAAGCAGAAAGGCAGCCACATAGCCTTACGTGCAGCCTCATCAGCACCCAAACAGCCACAGAAGACAATGCAATGGGGGCGAGGGAGGTTTGTCGTTAAATTAAGCTGGAAGGCACCCAAAGGCCTCCCCCTCCCTGCAGAAGGACACCCCCCCCCCACTGACCAGGGCTCCCATGTACGGAAAGATACATTTGGACACAGGAAGCTGCCTCAGGCACAGGCCGTTGATCCACTTAGGCCAGTGCTGCCTGCACTGACTGGCAACAGCTCTCTGAGGCTGTTTCAGGCAGGGAGTCTGCCAGCCCCACCTGAGAGGTCGAAGATGGGGCTGTCTCCATGCAACAGTCCCAACTCTGCCGCTGAGCCCAGGCCCAAGCTGCCTTGGACGAGCGAAACCATTGGTCCAGCTAGCTCAGGACTGACTGGCTGCAGCTCCCCAATGTTTCAGAGAACAAGGCTCTCCCTAGAGATGCTGTTTGGGGATCGCGCCTGGGAACTCATGTGTTCAACCATGGAGCTTTCACCTTAGACAATTTAGGATTAGATAGAGAACACACCCATGTCAGGGGCTATGAATGGTGTCAGTTAACCGGAGCCCCTATGTGCAAGGCCGATCTGCCAGGTATTGAGGACAAGGGGCAGGCAAGTGCCTCTGCCCGCTGTTGAAAGCAGAATGGGATGGTGGGTTTCACAGCCCCCACTGGACCGGGCGGGGGGGGCGACATGCCTCGGGTAGGAGGAGCCAGAAGGAAAGTGGGCAGTGCAGTAGATGCAAACTCCACCCTCCATGCTGGCAAGCGAAAGGCAGGGTCAGAGTTTGGGGATCCTCTCCTCCCAGGTAGGCAAACGCTCAAGGAGGGTGTGCAGCAGGGCGAGTGAGGGGGTGTGGCCTGGGGAGAGTTACGAGGGCCAACTAAGAGAGTGCTGGAGGGCCACATGCAGCCGCAGTGCCTGAAATGCCCCTCTTTTGGACCAGGTGGGCCTTCGCGGACCTCAGATCCAGTTCTAACATTATCGTGGCCTAACTGGGAACTGTGGGGGGGGTATTTGCCCTCTAACAGACTAAACCCCTCTGGGGTCAGCCCTGCTGAGGCCCTTCTTCTCCACCTGCAACCTCCAGCCCCCTCCCCAACACCATTGGCTCTTCCTTCTGCGGAGCATCACCTGTTGCCTCCGGTGTGAAGAAGGGAGAGTCTTGTGGCTCCTTAAGAGATTGAGAGGCAACAGCAAGAGAGAGAAGAGGATTCTCCTCTTCACACGAGGGTCCAAAACATCATAAGGTAAGGAGAGCCTGCTGGATCAGGCCAGTGGCCCATTAGTCCAGCATCCCTTTCTCACAGCGGCCAAGCAGATCCCCGTGGAAACCTAGCAAGCAGGATTCGAACCCAGGAGCCATTTCCCTCACGGTTCGTTTCCAGCAACTGGCCTTCAGAAGCATGGCTGCCTCCTGTGGGAGGGAGTTCCATAGGTTAACTCCGCGCAGCTTGAGGAAGCCCTTCCTTTCAGGTGACCTGAATCTGAGGGCGAATACTGCTCTGCCCAGTCTCCATAGCTAAGGGAGGCGTCCGAAGAGACGGCCCTTCCGCATCTACCGGCTCGGCCACTCTTCCATGCTCCCCGCCCTCGGTTTTCAACCTGTTTACCTAAAAGCCTTTGATTCCCTGCCGATGCCGCCCCTCTCCCCACCCCAGACAATTTGCAAGGGGGTCTTCTGTGGGTGCACCGAGGTGCGTCCCCTAGCCGCCCCTCCTGCCCTCTTTTCCGGCGTCTCGGAGGCTCCCCTCCGCCTGACTTCCAGGCGAACCCTCGGCAGCTTCACCTCTACAGAAAGCGGAGTCGGGAGTCGCTTTCTAGGCCAGGCCGGGGCGGGGGGGGGGGGACTGCTCGCGAAGCCGCCTCAGCTGCGGAGAGGAAGCCTCGCGCAGGCCGGGCCCCTCCCTAGGAAGCCCCCAAAGCAGCGCCCAGCCGAGCGAGGGCGACCCCCGGGGCCGGGAGGAGGCGCCGCCCGTCCCAAGCCCCCTGTGGACACGTCTTTCCCCAAAGGCTCTGCAGCCGGCGAGGCGGGCTGCCCTGGAGGGGCGCGGATCGCGGCTGCGAGAGAGGATCGTGAGGAGGGGGCGCAGGCTGCCGGGCCCCTCCTGGGGGGAGAGAGGGAGAGGCACGCCGGCCGCTCTTCCCGCCCGGCCCCGCGGTGGGAAGCGGCTCTGAGGCAGAGCCAAGCCGAGCGAGGCTCTCCCGGCTGCGCCGACGCCCCAGCACATTTCTAACACCCTCCCAACGCCCAAGAACCCTTAGGAAATCCCCTCCGTCCAAATCATGAGGGTTTGCATGGCAGCAGAGACGGGGAGGTCCCGGGAGCCCCCCCCCCCACGTCTGCCCATCGAGGCTCCTCGTTGACGGCTGTGCCTCGTGGGAACGGGGAGACCCGTGTTGCGTCTCCTCCTCACGACAACTCCGCGAGGTGGGCCCGTCTCAAGGCCATCCTTCAAGAGCGGCTTCCTCCCGGTGTGGCCGGCCTCGGCCTCCCGCCCCCCGGAGCCACGGCCCCGCTGGGCGACTGACGGGAGCCGGACGGCCTCCGTCTTGTTCTGGATAGTTCCGTCGGTTGGTACCTAGTGCTGAGAACACAGAGGTCGCAGGTTCGTGCCCCGTAAAGGACAGCTCCATATTCCTGCATTGCAGGTGGCTGGACTAGATGGTCCTCAGGGTCCCTTCCAGCTCTACAATTCTATGATCTCCGGTTTCGTAGAATGTGCTTGGGACAGTGTGACGGTCGCCTTTTTCTTGGGGACTTGCGGGCTGCGGCTGCCCCAGCCAAAAAAGCATCTTATCGCGTCCCCTACCCCACCCCGCCGCCCAGATATGAGGCTGCCAAAGAGAGAGGCCGGACCCCCCACCCGCCCCACAATGGCGCTTGGAGAGGGCCCCGCGCCGCAGGAGGGGCCGGAGGGGCAGGCTGGCCGGGCAAGCGCCCCCGCGCAGTCCCAAGAGCGCTCCTTGGCCCGCAAACGCCCCCTTGGGAGAACAGTGCGCGCCGCGATTCGGTACACACGCGCGCTGCTGCCAAGGCGGGGAGTGAGCGAGTGACCTACTTTCCCGGCTGCTGGGCAGGGCAGGATTCATTCCGGCGGCCGAGAGAGAGAAGGAGCAGCAGCAGCAGCCGGGAAGGGCCTGGGCGGGCCGGCAAGGAGCCCCCTCGGGCGGAGCGCACCGGCCTTTGCCCTCGAAGGTTACCTGGCGCCGGACTAGCCAAGGCGCTTCCTTCGGACACCCGCCCCCCTCACTTTACACAGAGCTAGGCGGGTCTTTCCTGATGACCCCCCCCTCCATTCAGCCTCTCCTCCACATTCCTCCGCAGGCAGCACTACGTGTCCGACGGCACACAGCGCGCGCGCGCGGACACACCCGCCGCCGGCCCGCGGAGGAGCTTCTGCTCGCCCCCTGGCGGGCGGGGCAGGGACCCGGCCGGGGGGGGGGGCGCTCCCGAGGCGCCGTCGCCCGGAGACGCGCCGGCTCTGTCCCCGGCAGGTGCCTCGCGCGGCGCTCCTTGGCAACCCGCCCGAGCCCCGAGGGAGGCCGAGCGCTGCCAGCCGGCAGAGGAACAGCCCTCACCCGCCAGGTGGAGAAGCGGCCCGGCCAGGATCGGCCCCCTCCGCGCTCCTTCTGACATTTAGCCGCCGGAACGGGGGATGACGGAGCCTCTTGCCGGGAGCGGCAGTAATGAAGCATTTTTAAAAAGGGGGGGGGGTAAGTCCCGCTGCGCAACTAGACAGGTCTATCAAGGCACGGCGTGGCAAACTACCCCCCCCCCGCAAGAAATAAGAAACTGCGCAAAGACCAAGAGGGCCGTGGAGATTCGGCCGCCATCAGGGCAGTTTCAAAAGTCAATACAGCAACTTTGGGGGGCTGCAGCCCCGCAGGCGCGCGCACACACCCTGCCCCATGGATGAATATAAATAGCCGGGCGTTGCCGCTTCTTCCCCCGACCCTGCAGGTAGCCGGCCCGAGGGTGCTTGAGCCGAGCTGGGCGGTCAGCTGTAGATGCTACTGGAGAGCTGGGCACCTCAAGCAGACGCACGTGGCCAAGGCTGGGCGCGCCAGGCGAGTGGACGGAGGCGCCGCTCCCCTTACTCTCCAATACCCATGTACTTGGAAGGCTAAGCGCGCGCCTTCACAGCGCGCAACGCCCTCCCCAAATAATATTGGGAACTGTAGTTCGTCTCGGGTGCTGCTGGGAACCGTAGCCTTGCAGCCGGAAGGGTCAAGAGCGCCCAAGGCCGGCCGTCTCCCAGGCAGGTGGCCCACGCAAGGCCGAAAGGCTTAGCGGGGCGAGAGGAGACCCACCACTCCTTCGCCCCTCCACGCCAGGCCGGCTGCGCTCCGGCAAGGCGTCGGCCTCCCTTCGTCCCCGCGGCCTCTCCGCGTCGCGGAGTCACTCGCCCTTGACGTCCGTATAAATAACTCAAGTCCCCGGGAACAAGGTCGCCGCGACCGGCGCCGGAGCGACGGGAAGGCGGCTGCGAGGCTCGCCTTTCCCCAACCTGGCCCTTCGAGGCGCGGCCGGCGAGGCAGGCGTTGCGCGGCGCCTCCAGTTGTGGCCCCGGGTGGGCTCTGAGAAGAAGGCGCCTGGCTCAAAA